AATTTAGAAATAAAGGAAAAGGAGGAAAAGGAAAAGTAGTAGATAGTGGGAAGGTATTGAAGAATAGAGAGGAAAAGAACAAGAAAGGATCGTACGGGGGGGGGGGCATGAATCATACAAGAACGCACGTGAATATGAACTAATAACTGTTATTTGAATAAATATTTAAATTTGTTGTTTAAAAATAGAATCGTGGATTTCTACAGCAAAACAATGAAATTGTTTATTAGTTTAGTTTGTTTATTAGTTTGTTTATTAGTTTGTTAAATAGTTTGTTTATTAGTTTGTTTATTAGTTTGTTTATTTGTTTGGTTATAGGTTTGGTTTATTAGTTTGTTTATTAGTCTGTTTGTTAGTTTATTTATTAGTTTTTTATTAGTTTGGCTTATAAGTTTGTCTATTAGTTTATTTATTGGTTTGCTTATCAGTTTGTTTATTGGTTTGTTTATTAGTGTGTTAATTAGTTTGTTAATTAGTTTGTTTTTTGGTTTGTTTATTAGTTTGCTAATTAGTTTGTTAATTAGTTTGGTTATTAGTTTGTACATTAGTTTGTTTTTTAGTTTGTTAACTAGTTTGTCCATTTGTTCGTGCATTAGTTTGTTTATTAATTTTTAAAGCACAAAAGTATATTCAGGCATACTGTAACAGACTAAATCTTTGTTTGGACCCCTTGCAGTTGTCAGACTTTGATAATTATTAGCTTTTTGGAAAGTCTATGACATAAGGAATCGGATTGCACAAGTTTTTCAAAGAAATTTTGCAAATTATTTACATTTAACCCGTCAAAAGAAATTTACACATTTTTAGTTTTTCTTAATTACACATCAGGTGAAATTTCGCAAACATTTTTGCACATCTGAAATGGCATGGTCAAGGGCTTTTCAAAAACGTATATTTTGTCATTTCTTTGAACTTTTTTTCTGCAAGCATTTTTAATATATAACTGGATTTGCAAAAAAAATCAAATTTTGCAAATTAAATTTTTTTTTCAGAATCTAAAAGTAGAGCATTAGAACTTTCCAATGATATATCATTTGTAATATTTGGACATCAAACATAGAATTCAAGTGAAGAAGTTCATGTAAGCCGTTTTTAAGCTATTTAGAAGAAAATAACACAGGAGGGTTGGAAAACAACCCCCGCCCCCCCCCCAGTCGTGATAGAATTAATAACATTTTCTGTAAAATATTATTTACAACGACATTTGGAAAAATGTAAATATGAAAAAGACTAATTTATTATGTTTCCTTGCAACATACCTTCACTTGTAATTTATATAAAAGTCAAGATTTCGACATGAAATTGTATCTATTTATTTTACCATGCAAAGATTCTCCCCCCCCCCTAAAAAAACTAAATTCAGCAAAAATAAAATAGTTTTTAAGCAGATTTCTAAAAATGTAAACAAAGCTTCGATTCACAAATACTCCATCTTAATAGGACGACATTAAAGAAATACAATAACAATAAAAACTAAGTTTAAATAAAAAAATTTAGAATTCTATTAAAACTAGAAATTCAAGGCGCTTCGCGCCCTTCTTTCTAGCCTTAGAGGGCGCTTCGCGCCAATCTCCTAAATTAATTGTGAACATGTTCTCTTTGTGTACATCGTAAAACAAAACAAAAATAATTCGCGGATTTTCAAAATTTAAAAAAATTTAATGACGATCGAATTTTGATGGAGACAAATATTTGAAATTTTGATGATTCATAAACCTTCCCTGGAGTCCCTAGATGTCCCACAAAAAATTTGGGCCCGATCGGTTCAGCCGTTTTGACGTTTATTGGATACAAACAAACAAACAAACAAACAGACAGACAGACAAACAGACAAGCCAAATTTATATATAGATTCACATCAAATAAATTTCCATTTATCAAAAAGCCGGAATTGTTGAAGATGGTAAAAATCTATTTAAGAAATTAAATAAGGATTAAAAATCATAGATTGTGGCAAAGACTAAATGCCTATCTTGAATATCATGAACTGTCCGTTTCATGACATATTTGGTTCTAGTCCCATAAATTTACCCGGACATTGTATAATAAACAACAGTAATATTTCTAGAGAAATATAAATAAATAATTAGAAATTATATTTATCGTGTATTTTGTCAGTTTGATTTACTGATCTAACCTAGGGCTGTGCAAAGTTCAGTAAACGAAACAAAGGTTTTTGAAATTTGACGAAAAAGTTCGTTAACGAACGTCAAAAAACCGTTAACTTTTAAATCGTTTACGAAAGAAAATAGTCGTTAATGAAGAAAAAAACTAACGGTTGAAAAAAAATTAAAACGAACAAAAAAAATTAAACAAATGAAACGGCATGTCTCGTCCTTTATTTCTGCTTAAAATTGCAAGAAACTTGCAAAAAGTAAAAAGCTATTTCTTATGTACATCGATGGTTTTAAACGCCATTTTCTGATTATCCCTCGTTTATTTATTGAAATATAGAATTTTATGGCTTTTGATGTTTTTTACATGTTTTGATGTTTTCGAATGTTGTCATTAAATTTGTCCTGCTACCTTTATATAAACTAATCGTTAACGGGTGGCACTGTTAAATGTCTGCCTTTAATTTCGTTAATAATATTGAGATCGTTAACGACCGAAAAATACCAAAATAACGCTATGTGTTTAGCTAAAAACGAACGGCCACCTAAAAAGAAAATTCAGCTAACCGTTAACGAGCAGCTAGAAAAAAAAGATCAAACGTGCCAAGCCCTAATTAACCACCTGGTAAACCTCACAGTAAACAGTAGACTATACGGGGAAGAGGGACAAACTATTTTTTAAACTAATGCCAAAGAAATTGAGTCTTTCCCACAAACTTTTAAATTATATATCTTTGCAACCAAATGTTGCAGACCTTATAGATATTTCAAACTATGAATTCTGTTAGATCAAATATTATAAGTTTAAAATATCAAAGGTTTACACCAAAAGGTTGCAATGATAATAGAGATTGAAATGCTGAATCTGTGGCAAAGACTCAATTCATTTTATATAAACAAACTATTTATTCAAATAAAAAACCCTAAAGCCCACGATTAGCTCAAATTTTTTAATCCCTATATCTTTGCAACTTGATGGTGTAAAAGAAGTATTAAATATTCACAACATCAGATTTGTAAGAATATATTAGAAAATAAAAGCATTAAACAAACACTGAGCACAATTCTAATAATTTAGATTTTGACAATTCTAATATTTTAGATTTTTAAAAGTAAACAATTTTTGCACCGAAAGCATTTAAATGTCTTTTTTTCTATAACAGCATTTTTTTCATGATATAATCCTTTATATCAAGGGAACAATTGTATTCTGATTACAAAGTTAAACAATAATTGGTCGAAAAAATAGTTTGGGATCTTTTTCGAATTTGACGTTTTCGGCCAAAAGTGACTAATCACGATAAAAATTGGTTAATTTTTTGAGAAATCAAACAAACACTTATTTCATTTTTTAAATTGAACAAAAAAGAAATTGATACTTTGCCACAAACTATAAACATTTTCTAAACCATATATATCTTTGCAATTAGATTTAGATCTAATCATAGAATTCATATAGTTTAAAATATCTAATATCTACTACACTGGGTTGCAAAGATGTAAGGATTAGAAAATCCGAGCATGCGACAAAGACCCAATTCGTTTTATACAATTGAATCCTCCTAAACAATGATTCTTTAAGTTTCAGACAAAACAAAAAATGCAAGGATGAAATTTAATATGAAATATATTCTGATATTTCTGCTGGTGGGTGTAGTGGGGAAATGTCTAGGGGGGAACTTCTACTTTTCCCCACATGAAGCCGGTTACAGGACGGATAGGTAGGAAGAGGGGGGGAGTGCATTTTTGTTATTTAAAAAAAAAGAAATTTTAAATTGTCCTACTTTTGATTTTTGTTGATTAAATCCGATAACATTGTAGTCATTATGAAATTAATTTCGTGATGTTTGGGTTAAGTTTCTTTTAACACCCAAAAAATTAATTAAACCCTGACAATTTGAAAAAAACTAATATCAGAAATGGACCGGTTCTAAGCATTACAGATTTTCTTCAGGGGAAGGGGGTTCAACAAGACTCTTTAAAAGATGTTGGGGGGAGGGGGCTTTGCTTTTACACGAAATTATGTAAAAATTGCATTCAGATATTAGTTTTAACATTCTAGTAATCAGAACTTCACCAGGTCACGTTACAAGTCTTCCTGGTGTTTATGTAAAATAAGTATATGTTTTCCTTCATATTTAATAATTTGAGATCCGATGTAATTTTTACTTTCAACAGCTTCTTTCAACTAACGGCAAGAACCAGACATTACTAGTGCGACTTTGTGACCTTGTAACGACTCTAGTTTTGATTTTACGCACAATAACTCTTCGATAAAAGGAGAAATGGTTGAAAACATATCAGGTTTTAACAAAGCAGGGAGCAGGCATGAAATCAATCCCAGGATTGGGAATAGTTTAAGCACTGAGTGTAATACGCGATTCATTCCTGCAGACAAGATAAAGAAATAACAGAAGCTGAAAAATCAGGGATAAAGTACATGCCGATACCGGTTTTTACTTATCTTGCTCTTATATAAATGAAACTGGAATTTATCCTGCTCTTAAGAATGAATTGCTACAGAAGATCTTATCCAGAGTTGAGTATAAAAAGAAAATATGTACTCCTCATATGCATAATGTGGTGCAAAACAATATGAGTTCAAATTTCCAAATTATCCTTACCTGTGCCCGAATTTAATGAATTTGAGCCGCGGCTTAAATCTGCCAAAACCGGTTGTAATTGTGTGCCGACTTAAATCTTGAAAAATTGAATACAATTTTAAGTGGAACCAACCATATTTGAGCCGCGGCTTAAGAACCAACCATATTTGAGCCGGCTAAAATTCTTCAAATTCGACCTCTGGACTTCAAAAGAATTAGCTAGAAACATCCAAAAAATAAAGAACATTAAAATTTTTTATAAAATGCATGCTGGCAGGTCTAGATTTGAGAGGGTGTTCAACACAATTCCAGAACCGAAAACATATTGGAAGTTATTGGGACATCCAGAAACTTCTCTTTCAAAATTCAACCAAGAACATGATGGAAAAAGGGAATTGGAAACATTGGAAAACAAGAGTGTAGAGCAGAAAATGAATTACAACAAGAACTGTGACAGGGTGTGTGCAGACTTGTGAGCATAGAGAATAGAATATATAGAGAGGAATTAAAAGAATCTCTCGGTATGAATTTTTTCAGTCCCTTCCAGCCTGAAAGGGAGTTCAAAGTGTACAAATCATGTAAATGTTCACAAATTATATGCAGAAGAGTACATTAATACTGTATGTTCCCTAGACTATTCATTTCAATTTCGAATTTTTTAAACTGTTAAATAAACTTTATAATGAATTAGGGGAATACAAAACATCATTTGATTTATAGTTATAACGGCAAATCATCGTTTGTAAAGTGAAAGGCATAGAGTCTATGTGAAATGATCATTGGTCAATTATGAAACCAGCCTATTTCATAATTTGGTTTTCTTTTAAAAATAATTTTAGATTTTCTATAAAATGATATTCCAGGGCCCGACAGGTTATATAGCATAAATATGTGAAGTACACCTGCAGTATGGAAACAGTACAACAAAATGGCCGTTTTACACTTTTTTCTAGTAAATTCCTCTCTATATATTCTATTCTCTATGCTTGTGAGCACCCTGTTTAATTGCTTTGACCTTCATCTATATAAATCAAACATATTGTTAAAAGCTAAAAAAGAATTTCAAAAATTATAAGATTTCATATCAACTTACTTGAGTTTGACGTGAAGTGCATGATTGCTTATATATTTTTAATTGTCAGGAACTTGGGAGATGAGTTTGAGATGGATCTAATCAGTTCTACCGGGCTAACGGTCAACTTGTCTATAGCATCCTTAGATTACATAATACAGGTGAACATTCTAACCTATTTCTATAAATAATCATTGCTTGTCTGTCTGTCTGTTTGTCTGCTTGTTTGTATCCAATAAACGTCAAAACGGCTGAAACAGGGAATGACCCCAGGGAATGGATGATCAAACTTTCCAAAAATGAGCCACCAACAAATTTCGTTTTTTTTTTAATTTTGAAAATCCATGAAATTTTTTTCAAAATTTGCGAACTTTTTTGATTGTTTTGTTTTACAATATATACAAAGAGAAAATGTTCATAATTGAAAAAGATTATGAGCGCCAAACGCCATGAAAGCCTTGTTTCCTAAATTGCTTATCTGTTGCCGTTTGATTGTCGATGTCTGTCTCTGTGTCCAATACACGTCAAATTAGCTAAACCGATCGGGCAACCACATGAAAGTTTATTGTGACCACTCAAAATTATGCCTTGAAAAGATGTGGATTTTGGAAATTATCCATCATTCAACAGTTGGATGCGATTTTTTGCAACATAAAGTTTTTAACTTAAACGGTATATTGAAAAAGATCTTCTGTAAGAATGTGTTTTGAACGTTTTTAAATCCTATATATCCAATTAACAGGATTATTAAATATTTTTATTGTTTACATATTAAAAATACCATGTGACCCAACAAAACGTTTCTTACAAAAAGTGTTCTATCACAAAACGTTTCTTCATTAATAATGTTTCCTTTCACAAAACGTTTCCTTAACCATTAGTTAAAATAGAATAGTACAGACTAGTTTATCCACAATAAAGTTGTAATTCTTGATTTCTCTAATTGGACGATTGTTTTAGGACATTTTAATGTAAAATGACATTGATCAAATTTTATTTAAATATAAAAGCCATGCAAATATGTCATCATTGAAAGTGTGATCTAAAAGGTTTACATACTCAGAAGGTCAAAAAGCATATGGAATATTTTGTGAGACAACGTTTTATAGCAGGAAACGTTTGGTAGCAGGAAACTATTTTAGCAGTAAACTTTTTATAAAAAGAAACATTTTGTGGCATGAATCGTTTTGTGGCAGAATCATTTTGTAGCAGGAAACTTTTTGTAACAGGGAACGTTCTGTAGTAGGAACCATTTTGTGGCAGAAAATGTTTGCAGAATGTAAATTTTTTGTGGCAGAAAATGTTTTGCAGAATGTAAATTTTAAATTTTGTTGGCACAAAATGTTTGCAGAATGTAAATTTTTGTGGCAGAAAATGTTTTGCAGAATGTAAATTTTTGTGGCAGAAAATGTTTTGCAGAATGTAAACTTTTGTGGCAGAAAACGTGTTTTGGGAGGAATCATTTAGTGGTGAAAAGTGCTCTGAAACATAACAATTTACATTATTTCCATATTTCAGGAAAATCTGCTCGGCTCTGGTATGCCTGGATACACAAAGAAACCTGGCCGGTGTAAACCAGTTTGGACAAAGTAAATTAACAAATCCAAATATAAACAAAGGAATTAATAATTGTCTCTTTTCAGTTTGGGGTACACGTCACTCGCTGATATTGAAAAGTCAGTTGTAAGGATCTTTGAGCAAGGTAAAGGGTTAATTTTAAGACAAAAAAGTCTTACATTTTTCTCTACTCTGTGTTTCTGTAAATTGGAATATTATCTCTTGATCATTATGAATTTTGCTATGTTGTATTATTATACTGGAAACGAAAATTTGACTCTAGAAAATAGAAAAATCTGCCAGAGGAGCTAAACCAAACATTAAAACTTTCATGTTCTCATTCTAATATCTTGGAGACCTGAAGCCGTGGATCTTGTATATGTCAATTAATGAATTATCATAGATCAATAACCTGGAGTTCGTGATACTAAAGGTTTACACCATCAGGTTGCAAAGGAATTAAAACGCTAAAGTTTGTGACAAGTGTTCAAATAAATCTTTAAAAACTGTGATTTTTGAACCAAACTTTTACTAGATGAGGTTCGATCTGATGGTCGATGTGGATCTGGATTCCTGATACCGGGTACAGATAAACCAGCTGCATGTAACAGTAGTTCTATTGATAGATGCTGCTCAGTCACAAATCAGGGAATTTATCAAAAAAATTACCAAAATTTATGGGATTGTTCGCCAAAACTATTTTAAAGGGACAGTGAGCGTATTTTTAAGCGACCCTCCATTAAAAGATTGCATGCCCGATTCACCACGGTACATTTGAAATCTGTATCTGGTCAATAATGCGGAAGATATTGGCGTTTTTCTAGGTTTAAAAGTGTTTAATCGTGATAACTTCTGTAATGCGTTCCTGCGATATAAATACGCAAAGTGAACCCAGCGACCAGATTTAATGAAAAATGATCTGTAGTTCAACCACCTATCTTGTGCATGCGCCAGTTCAAGCTGATATGAAATAGTTGAACCTCGTCTAGCGTTTTCATTCTCAAAACTTTTGCACAATTTTTGCGAAGGGAAGCACAAATGTTTGCTACATTTTTGCACTTTGCGCAATCATTCGCAAACTTGATTTCGCGCAAAATTGCGCTATTACGTTTTTGCGTTATTCTATTTTGCGAAATTTTGCGGAACAAGAGGGGAATAAAGTTACAAACCGTGCTTATGTTTCAATTACCTGACAATGAGTGTTAGGTTTGAACACAAAAAATATGATTAACGTGTTAGTAACTCTCCCTGTCTCGAGTGCAAATATTAGCCTTCTAAATTATAATAAAATTTGTTTGCACATTATACTTTTAAATACAGAAAATAAAGAACATTTCAAGTTTTAATATAAAATTTCCCGCATTTTCTTATCAATATAATTGTAAGAACATTAAAATATTAATATTTGAAATTTTAAATGAATTATAAGTCGTTTTATTTTTTAAATATCAGAACAGAATATATTTTTTTCGTTTTTCTTGTTCCATTATTTAAATTCAACCGTTCACAAAAGTACGTTGTGTTACCAAATTGTGTAAATGCTTGAATATATCATTGATTCAATTCTGTTAAATGTCTCAAAATCGTGAAATGTTCCAAAACGTGGTTTGCGCCAAAACTTTGCATTTGCTTCACAAATGTTCTAAAATGAAATCAATAATCATCAAATATTGAAATTTCTTTATTTGCACTAAATTGTTGATTAAAAGTGTTATCTGTATAAATTAGTTTTTTTGAGATTGCACTTTTTTTGCATATAAAGACAATGCTTAAAAGGAACTGATTACTTGCCTAAACACTCTACTTTGCGACATGGATCATGATAGCACATGCTGCAAATTAAGATGTGCACGCTCTCACACAAAAATCGAGCAGTGTGTGTCTACTTACTCCTATCAAACTTAAGCTTGCATTTTTAAATTAGATTTAAATTAAAACTTTAATGACCAATTTTCAGAGTTGTCGATATCTCATGCGCACTTGACTGGAAACCGTCAATATTTAAAATATCAAAGATTTAGACATCAATAAAAACTATGCATTAATTTTCAATTTTCAATCTTAAAATTTCTGTTTTATTAAATTTTGCCCTCTATTTGAAATTTTTGTATTTAAAAGTAACCAATTGAGAGTAGCTTAATCATAAACCTTCAGTTGTTTGGTTCTGTGTTGAAAATATAAATTTTGGCCATTTATTTTTAAAAAAATATCATGTTTTGCGTAAAAATGTACGTTTTGCGCAATATTCTTGGTTATGCGCAAATTAAAAAGCGCAAAATGGGCAAAAATTATTGCCCTTCATGCGCAAAAGTTGCGCAAAAGTTCGCAAAATATACGCAAAAAATTCGCTAAAAATGTGTTCATTTCGTGCAAACCTTAAACACGTCTGCAAGCAGTTCAACCATGCCTGGAAATGTATTAAATCTGGTCCCATTTAAAGTTGTCATAATTGATATCGAAATCAAACATCGTATATTAGCACTTTCTCACACAAAAGTTTCCACGTCTTTGCTAATTTATCAATTTTCTTATGCGATAATGCGAGTGCCAAAATTAGTTTGAAAATAAATTTATAACATGAAATATCAAAGGTCAGCGACATCTGGTTGCAAAGATACAGGGGCTAGACTTTATGGCAAAACACTCGAATTCTTCAAAACTTAACATACAAATATTTGATAATAATAATTCAATTGGTTGATCAGTGTGGGGCAGACTGTAGTTGTAAAGGATGTATAGACTACAGAGCAGGTAGATAATTAGTTTAAGGGACTGCTGACTGTAGTTGTAAAGGATGTATAGACTACAGAGCAGGTATGATAATTAGTTTAAAGGACTGTTGACTGTAGTTGTAAAGGATTTATAGACTACAGAGCAGGTAAGATAATTAGTTTAAAGGACTGCTGACTGTAGTTGTAAAGGATGTATAGACTACAGAGCAGGTAGATAATTAGTTTAAGGGACTGCTGACTGCCTTTTTAATATAATTTTCAATTCACCCTCCGTTACACAATATTTAAAAAAATCTAAATATTTATTTTGTAGCAGAGATTAAAATATTACAATTGTATTACAAGTTTACAACTTTCATAAATGGAAAAACTACATTATTTATTTTCTATATAAAAGATTCATATGATAAACACAGATTAGACTTTGAATGTCAGTGCAATATTTCACAACTGACTCCCTTGTCATCCATTGCTGAAAAACAACAGAACTTCCTATTTTATTTGGTTCTCTACTTTTTCATATGCTCTAATTGCCTTGTGTCTAACTGGGCAAACTGTACATTCTTTTTCTTCACAGAAACTAAAAACTGGGTTCACAGGTGGTTTTAGTTCGATTTCAAGTTCAGTTTCAGATTCTGGACCAGCTTCAGTCTCAAGTTCAGGTTCAGGCGCAGACTCAGTCTCAGGTTCAGGTTCAGGTTCAGGCGCAGACTCAGGATCAGGTTCTGGTTCAGGCACAGACTCAGTCTCAGGTTCAGGTTCAGGCACAGACTCAGTCTCAGGTTCAGGTTCAGACGCTGACTCAGGATCAGATTCCTCAGTAACCTTAGGCCTGGAAAGAAGATTGGTCTTAGGTGTTGATGGTGTACATATTCCATCAAGCTGGGGAATAGGGAAGGAAGTGAGGGATGGAGATCTAGCTCTTTTCATCTTGGCTTTCTTATCTTCTAGTAGAGGAGGTCTAGCTTCCTTCAGGGGTTTTCTCACAATCTTCCATGGGCGCCCAATTTCCTGGCATGGGGACTTTGACACATCCCGCAAGGGTTGTCTAGCTTCCTTCAGGGGGGACCGCACTTCCTTCAGGGGGGACCGCACTTCCTTCAGAGGGGAGGAGGGACCACACTTCCTTCAGGGGGGACAACACTTCCTTCAGGGGAGACTGCACTTCCTTCAGAGGGGAACGCACTTCCTTCAGTTGGGATCGCACTTCCTTCAAGGGAGACTGCACTTCCTGCTGGGGTAGTCTCACTTCCTTCAGGGTTGACATCACACCTCTGTTTCTTCTCCTTCTCCTGTAGATTGGTCGAGAAACTCGGGAAAATAAGAAAAATTCTTCTCCATCTTTAGTCCACAGGTTAAGCTTGATATCCAGTCCTAGATCCACTCCTTCCCTATACAACTCCAAGAGTTTATGTATAATTCTCATTGTTTGTGTTTTAAACTCCCCGCCATAGCAACAGCAAAACTCCCTGCCATAGCAACAGCACTCCCCGCCATAGCAACAGCAAAACTCCCCGCCATAGCAGCAGCAATACTTATACAATATTAAAATGATTAACTTTCTTCAAATCTCAGTAATTTAAATTTAGTGCGTCAAACCTTGATGAAGCCAACTGTGATTGCTCCAGTGTTAAGTGCAGAGGAATGTTCACGAAAATGTCTTCTGTCTCCAGCTTGTGATATGTTTGACTTCAGCTCTACAACTTGTAAATTTTATCCTTTCATCAAGCTTAAAGGAAGAATTGCAAGTCAGGTACATAAAGAATTTTCTACAAAATTGACTCTAAGAGGTTATCCTGTTTTTGTATAGTAAAAGTAACTAATTTTCCTAATAGTATAGGTTTTTTGATTTCTTCTTGATCATTTTTTCATTCTGAAAGACCTGAACCTGTAAAAAATGCAAGACCCTTAAAGACTTTTGGAAATTAAGGACTGAACCATGCTTTAGATATAATTTAAATCAAACCCTTAGATACTTTACAGAGCTCATTATTACTTTTTGTTACAAAAAAATATTGTGACCTGATTAGAAGTGTATTCTGGAGTTTTTTCTGGATCAATTTCATAATTTTATAAAATTGACCAAAAAATTGTTTTAGCATGTTGCTCTCTGTAAAATATTGAGTAGATTAATTTGAAATTTGGTCAAGTAGTTTCTAAAATTTTGAAAGGATTCCTAACTGCTTTTGTAAAGGTTATGTACGGACTTTAAGGAACTAAATTTAACCAGAAAAAATTAGAAACCCTACCTTAACCTTAAGTTGCAAAATTTTTATTATTAAAAAACCATACATTTAAATTAAAAACTTGATCCTTTACATTTAATTCTTAATTCAGTTACTAGAATAATTGGCATTTGGTTCACAAGTATAACTGTTCGAAAGTAGGTGCTTTACTGTTTAATATTTGCATAGGTATTAAAATCTGAAAGTAGAAGACGATCTTCTGTGTATATTCTTGAATGTGATGATAGTCAGTCTAACATTCTTGCCAACAATGATTGGGAAGGAACTACTCCCTCATTACCTTGGACCCAAAATACTAATTGTGCTAGCGGGGTAGATATTGATGTTTATTCTGGAATCAGACACACATCATATTTCAAAAACATCCTTCCAGGTCATAAAATCTAAATTTAAATTAAATTAGTTATTTAGAAATCTTTACTCTGCTGATGTCATTGATATTGTAGTATTTGAAAGATCCTTCTTGTTATTATACATATTAAATATTTAGCTTGTCCTGAGGGTTGGTTGGATAGTGGACTCTATTGTTTCTTTAAATCTTCTTGGGCAACCAATCCTGCTATTCGAAAATCCAACCATACACACAGTATGTGCTCTAATATTGGAAGTTTGGTGTCTATGGACTCCAAGCACCATTATGATTATTTTACATCAAGTTTACCTTTTGTTGATGGAAGGATGTGTAATGCCGGATCTGATCCAGAGTTAGTCCTACTTCCCCTAGGACCTTGGCAACCCTTCTGTTTGGGGTCCTATGACACATTGCTTACTTACTTCTGGACCTCAGGTTCTGATTTGAAGTATGAAGGAAACTTTACATGGAACTCAGGAGGAGAACCTTACCTAATCAACAAGGGGTATATATTTTTTTAATGAAGCATCCTCCCTTCTCTTAAAACACATATGGGCTTTCCATGGTTTAGGTCATCTTAACAATTGCCCATATACTAGGGAACCTCATATTGCATTTTGTCCTTTAGAAACTTAGGGATAAAAAAGTATTTTTCAAGAAGGCCCCTTGATCCAATTCAATTATGCCCTTGTCCTTCCTTCCCTTACCAAAATTATAACAAAAGGCATTATTTAAAACCTACCTATCTAGTTATTCAAAATGGTTCTCAGTCACTGCTCCAAATTTACAAGCACCAAATAATAAAAATGGAAGATCTACAGATAATCCAACTGATCAGAGCAGACCAGGGGAGCACTGTGTTGCTTATGAGGCGTTAACTAAATCTATAAATGATCTGCCATGCTCTAGACTTCTAGAATCTATTTGTCAAGGGGTGAAAGGTAAACATTATTTTATTGGTTGGTTTATTTCCCTAACCAACCCTACCATCTTTTACTCTTATGTTATGAATCTTAAATTTGCCCTTTAAAATCTTCAATAAATGTTTGATTAAAGCAATATGTGCACAAAGCACCAATGTTCCATTTTGCAGCTTTTTATTTGAATAGATCTTGTTGGTCTGGGGGGTGCTGTTGATGGATATACTGTTGAGCACACTGCAAGTTGCAACTCTAATTCATTTACTTATGAAATAAAGACTCCATTAACAATCAAGGAAACAGGATTTGGGGAATTATATATAACAACATTTAAACCAAACGGCATCTTGAAAGTATGGGCAAGGTAAGTTAATTTCTGGTTAGAATGTTTTAAAGAGAATAATGGTAATTTATATCAGATTAACTGGTTCTGGAACTGGAAGTGCAAATGTAACTGCAACACTAACAGACTCTTCTTCAAACCTAGTGACTAAAACAATAACTGTTCCTCTAAGTACAACTCAAGTCAGCCACTACATCATTGTTCCACTCATACCAATTCCAACCAGTTTTCCTCTTGATGTTAAAGTCAAGGCTGAAGCTACAACTGGAATTATATTGCTGTCTCCAGTTGAACTGATTCTTGATCAGCCTATATATGTTGGATGCTTTGATGTGGAGGCTGGGGAACATTTGAAGGAAGTTGAATCAGCCCTAGACTGCCTTGTTCATTGTCATGAGAACAGCAAGAGATTTGGTGTTCTCACTAAAGGAAATCAGTGTAGTTGTTTGCCTGAAATAAATCATGACAAATTTACACAATTAGCCAATTCTAGGTGCAATCTGCATTGTACCGCCTTCTCTGCTTTAAAATGTGGTGGGCCCAATGTGTTTTCTGTTTATGTTGCAAGTGAGTTATTGTTTAATTAATAATAAAGCACCTTCCATGGGCCCAATAAATGAATAGATCCAATAGATTTTTAATAAAGAGCACATGTTAAAAGTGTTTTTTTAATAAGTAAAAATCATTGTAAAAGCACATTTTTCAACATAATCTTTAACAACTTTGCAAGGCGTAATTGGTAACTAATTCTTGAATTTCTAGGCTGCGAAGATGGCTATTTGAGGTATGGAAATAGATGTTTTAAAGACCATGGCCAGCATAAAATCTCTAAAAGAATTGATTGTAATCCAGACTCTGATGTTTGGGCACCTAGATATCTTGGGGATGAATTAGTTATACCTTCCCTAATAAGGTCAGCTGTACATGTTATCAGAACTTTAAATTGTCGACTTAGTTTGTGAGAAAAAATGGTCTTCAGAACTAAACTAGCAATTTTCTGAATACAGGGAAGCAATGGACTATTTTACATGAGATTTATATTGAAAGGCAATATACTTGAGAATTCAGGCTTGCAGCATGCTTAAATCAATTGGCAATTTAGATGAAAAAAAATCCATTTTAAATGCATAACTTATACTGAAGAACGTAGCTCCGTACAATTTCAGAAAATTGGAACATATGACTCGGATCGCAAATAGGGTTTCCATTTTTCTGGAAAAAAATTTCCATATTGGAAATGGAATGATCCGGAAATTTGTTGCGTAAACCGGAATTCCGGGATAATTCCGGATCAAATGGAAACCGGAATGTTTACGGTTCACGTTACGTAAACCGTAAATTTTTCCGGTTTACGGAATGGAAACCGTAAAATTTTCAGTTTCCATTTTGTAAACCGGAACTTTTTCCGGTTTACGTAACGTAAACCGTAAAATTTCCAGTTCCCATTTCGTAAACCAGAAATTTGAACACAATATTAAACATAGAAAGCAATGTTAAAACATTAAAAGTTAAAACTTATTAGTTGACATACATTAAATACGCATTTAGTTCTACAATTATATATTCACAAATATTTCACTATAGTTCATCATGACTATTTTACAGTTACAGTTTTCAGTTCACTTTTCCCCACAATATTTTTTGACAAATTAGTTTTTTTTTTCAAGAGGGTCATTGGAGGCTTATGCCCCCCCCCCCCTCCCCCTCCGTATTTGATCAGGATGGGATGAAATGAACCATATAAATAAGAGTTTATAAAAACTAAAGGCTTTAAACTGGTGAATTAAAAAATAATAAATTTCGACGTTTTTTCCCGCATAAATTTTTAACTAGTTTGAAACTTTCCCTTGGGCCATGTGAGTTGCCTCACAAATGTTGGGCTCGGCCGGTTCAGCTGTTTGGACGTTTATTGGATACAAACGGACAAACAAACAGACGAGCAAAGTATATAAATAGAGTGAGAACCAGAAAATTCTGGAATAGGAGGACGACTATTAGACTTAAATTATGACTCTAAATAGTTCAATGAACATGAGACACGGCAATTACGTAGTATATACTATACTGTATACAGACCAATTTAAAAGTGATTTTATAAGTTACTATTTAACCTATTTCCTTTGTAACAACATTAATTAGACTCAAGGATTGCTGTACATGACTACAGCTACACCAGGCGCACATTCTATCATTCTGTAGATAATATTACTTACTGGTTTTATCTTTTACATAAGTTTAAGATGTCTTCAACATTTTCCGGAACCTTTTTCCGGAAAATTCCGGAACAATTGTTCCGTAAACTGGAATTTTCCGGAACTCTATTCCGTAACGTTCCGTAATTCCAGAACAACGTCCCGGAAATTTCCGGTTTACAGAAAGAAATTGTTCCGGAAATCGTTCCGGAATTCCGGATTTCCGGAACCTTTTCCATAATGGAAATGGAAAAAATTTCCGGATCATTTCCGTAGGTAAACCGTTACCCGGAATTCCGGTGGAAACCCTAATCGCAAAGCATTAATTAAATTTCAAACAAATCATGCATATTAGAATCTAAAGTCATCGATAATTTTCGACATAATCGTATATAGTTAATAATTCATAATATCTCTAATTCTTTTAAGATCTGAGAGTTATTTTTGAGAACATTTATTCCTGTTTCGAGGATTTTTGACAATGAAGACGACATTTTCATATTTTCCATGAATATTTGAAAATCCAGCGCTAGTCCTAAAATCAAGTTATAGCTGAATATTATTTTTTTTTATTATTCAAAAATATTATGAAATGTAAACTATGTACGAAAACGTTGAAAAATATTTGATGACTAGAGGTTGAAATATCTGAATGATTTGTTTTTAACAATTTTCTCCTTATAGACGTAACAGATAGAAATAAGATTAGTAACAATCAAAAGCACTTACTTTTCGCCTCAATCCTATACCCCCTTTCATTTTTCGCGAACACTCCCTTTAGTTGACTCCAATTCTTGTTATTCAACCCATAATTGTTATTTTCACACACAAAAGTTATTTTACAGATATATAGGGGTTAAAAATATGAAAACAAAAATTTTTACGAAAACAAGAAATTTGTCAGTACATAAAAAGTTTATAATATCTTCAATATAATTGTTTTTAAATCAATTAATTGTCTCATTAGACTAGGAATCTAACATAATTGAGATTCTCTGTTTAATTATATCAGACAATTGACATGAGCTATTCTATGTTACACTCTCCTTAATATTCATGTCTTCAGAAAATATCATATCCTTCTCTGCTCCGACTGTAAAACTTGCCTTATTATTACAAAATCTCAACAATACTGGTAAAATTGAGGATAAAATGTCTAGAACCAATAAGAACTGAATTACCCAAAATGTTTTTTTTTGTATAATGTTTTGATTTCAGTAGTGGAAGTGGAAAATACCATCTAGGACTGTTATCAAAAACCAGAGAAGGAATTGCCTTGTTTGACAACTCTTACATAACTGGTTACTATCCACTTTATTGTAAGTTAATTTTTCTAGATTACATAAGGTGCACAAGATAAAACTTTTATTATAATTATTTGAAGGGGGATCCTATCCAATTGTAAAAGATGTAAGATTACCATCTCCTATTGGCAACACAGCACTGGACAACATGATTTTAAAGGTAAGAATTGGAAATTGAAATATTAGCTACTAGTTGAAGTGCCCAGTGTTTCCCGTAGAAAAAATTAAAATTTTGTCCAAAAATAATTAAATTTTGAAGAAAAAAAATTTATTTTTAAAAAAATACTCGAAGTCTTTGCTGTTACCCTTAGGGTACCCATGGGATTTGTCAAATTTGCCAATTCGGTACAGCCCTTTAGTCATCCTATAGGTGACAGATAAATATATATGTTTATTCTCTACGTTCTATTTGTGTATGTAAATTTGCTTAAAGGCACTTAAGCCGAAAGTGAAATTTTATTTAATTCCTATACAGTTTCATTTTAATTCATATGCAGTTTTATCTTTTTATTTCTATGCAGATTTATTTTTATTCAAGTGTAGTTTTATTTTAATTCCTATGCAGCTTTATTTTTTTATTTCTATGCAGATTTATTTTAATTCAAGTGCAGTTTTATTTATTTCTTATACAGTTTTATTATGATTCCTATGCAGTTTTAATTTTTCTCATATGCAGATTTATTTTGACTCAAATGCATTTTTTTAGTTCCTATGCAGTTTTTTATTATTTCCTATGCAGTTTCATTTTAATTCAAGTGCAGATTTATTCTGATTCCTATATAATTTTATTTTAATTTCTATGCCGTTCTATTTTAATTCCTATGCAGATTTATTTTAATTCAAATGCAGATTTATTTGATTCCTATGGAGTTTTATTTAATTCCTATCATCCAATGCAGTATTATTTTAATTCCCATGCAGTTTTAATTTGATTCCTATGCATATTTTGTTTAATTCTAATGCAGTTTTATTTTAATTCCTATGCAGATTTTTTTAATTCCTATGCAGTTTTATTTTAATTCAAATGAAGGTTTATTGATTCATAGTCATAGTCAACTACAAATGAATGTTTTTAAGCAAGAAAAACCAAATAAAGAATCTAATTAATTCTTTTTCAAGGATGGATTAATATCAAGAGAAGTTGATGCAGATGCTCAATTAGTGTGTGAAAAGCCAATAGGTACTTTCAAATTATAAAAATAAAAAATATCACTTGTGGATATAAATTTAAATTTTCAGTTAACGGCTATGGACACAAGAAGTTGTTGGGGTCCAAACATGTAAATTTTGTTATTCTGGATTCTGGAGTGGAAAAAGTAAACGTTGATGAATCTATTCTACCGGGGTATTTAGGGATACCTTTGGATGTTCAAGGACTTAGGTATTACATTACTTACATTTATATCAGATGTTTCTTTAAAGGAGATTTAACATAAACTGTCCCAAACAAACCCCATACAACATACATTCAGGATACCTCACCCAAGGTAATGCCAGAATTAGATTGGTTTATCTCAATATAAATAAATAAAAAAGGATATTTAATGCAACATACTCAATCTTTCATATTCTGATATTTGCAGCATGATGGTGTAAACCTTTAATATTTCATACTTGGATTTTATAACCTGGCAGAATTTTGAAATATCTGGCAGTTCTGCAATATTTGGTTGCAAAGATACCGGGATTACAAATCGAAGTTTGTGTCAAAGACTCAATTTCTTTTGAATCCCAGAAAAAATACTTTTAAAGTTATCTATTGTAAATCTTCTAATTTAGGGGATCATATGTCAGCTGGTTTGAGATTCAACTTGATAAAAGCATTGTGGTTAATGCCATAATTGTTACTCTTGAAGACAAACACTCCTTTACTAGTCTACGGTTTCGTATTCCTATATATAATCCGGATAATGAGGACTATATGGAATATGAGAATGAATACACAATCATCCCCGAGTCTGATGAAAACATTGCCAGACCTGTCAGCAAAACGTTTCGACTTCAAACACCTGAAATCTTGGACAGGTTACTGATGTTTAAAGGGACAGTATACTTAATTTTTATGGACCCTCAATGCAAAGATGTACGCTAGTGTAGCAAGAGAACTTAATGAAAATTAATCTTGCAAACAAAGTGTTTAACAATTATAAGTGTTTCTGTAGATAAATAAGGAAAAGTTTTAAATCCTTGATCTGTCATAGGTTGACACCATTGTGAATTTCAGATGCTACTTTTTAAATGAAACTTCACTTAAAATTATACTTACAGTCCCTCCTAAATGATAAAAAACTTCTCTAAGTGTGAAAATGCTTAGGTTTCAACTTATGTTTGGAAAGTCTTCAAGAAGGATGAAATTTCGGTTTGAGATATTAGGAGAAGCACTTATGGATATGATTCCTAAGAATTTCTTTAATTATGGTCAAAAGAAAATAAATAGTAAGTAAATGAAAACTTTTTATCTATACATGTATATTGCTAGTCTGGGTGTCTGTTTGTTTTTCTGTCCGTTTGTATCAAATAAACATCTAAACGGCTGAACCGAATAGGGCCCAAATTTTGTGAGAGACCTCACATGACCCGATGGGTTTTTTTTTGAAAGTGTGCCAATTTGAAAAGAAAAATCCGCCAAAATTTGAAAATAATTTAAAATGGCCGACTTTTAAAGGAACAGTTAAAAGGTAAAACTATTCACAGGAAAGCGCCCTTTAAGCCTAGTATTTATATTATATATATGAACTAGCTGGGGTGCCCCGCGTTGCTCAAGCTTGGTTAGGTTTTAAAAACACTTTACCATTTGGCCTCAAGAAATTTCAGCCAATTTGATCCAGCCATTTGACCAGCATCACGAACAAGTACGTATATATGAGCGAATTAATATATATAATGAAGATTTAGTTGATATGAAACCTGTTTTTTTCATGATGACAAGAAGATGTCAACTGAACCCTTAACTGAGACTCTAATTTTCTAATCCCTATATTTTTATAACTTAAATGCTTAAAACTTAGACATGTTAGTCGACCATAATTCATAATTAAAAATATAAAATGTCTACAATATAAGGTGGCGAAGATGTAGATATGAGAAAATTAGAATCTGTGATAGGTGTTCAGTTCATTTGGACTCATGACTCAATTTTGTTGAAAACCTAACCCTGAATTGTTGTACCACATTTGTGATTGTTATAACCTAAGAAAGTATTTAAGCAATTTCAGTCAACTAGCCAACAGCATACAGTTCATACAATTAAGTCCTTCATTCAGTGAAAATCTAAATGATCACTCTGCACTGAAATGAAAATATTACGATGCAAAGTTTTAAAATTATCACATTGTTTATAATTGGTTTATCATAATTATGCAAAGTCGTAAAGAAGTCATTAAAAAAAAGGCATGTCCGATTCACAACGGTTCTTTTTACAAACTTTTCTGATTAATAATTTTGAAGATATCATTGTTTTTTTCTATTAATTTCTATTAATTCTATTTCCTACAGTCTTTCTGTTGCAAGAAATCCAAGTTACTTTTATGGAAAACCACAATCAAAAATCATCAAAAAGTCATGGATATCTCATCCATTCTTAAATACTCAAAACTTTCAGAGGTACCTTTGTAAATTGGACAAGCCGGTCAATCGATAAATGGAGGGTCATTGTAATGCATATTTTTAGAGCAAATGGTAAATGATCCTTATGAAGAAATAGTTTTGGATGGACTTATCTGCCCTGATGGAGGAATTCATGTTACAGGAACCAATCTAGTGTTTTCATAGACATTTATAATATACACTATACAGTAGCACGTTAAACTAAAGTAAACTGCATGTATATGTTTTCATAGACATATATAATATACCCTATACAGTAGTGCGTTAAACTGAAGTAAACTGCATGTATATGTTTTCACAGACATTTATAATATACACAATACAGTAGCACGTTAAACTAATGTAAACTGCACGTATATGTTTTCATAGACATTTATAATATACACTATGCAGTAGCACCTTAAACTAAAGTAAACTGCATGTATATGTTTTCACAGACGTTTATAATATACACTATACAGTAGCACGTTAAACTAAAGTAAACTGCACGTATATGTTTTCATAGACATTTATAATATACACTATACAGTAGCACGTTAAACTAAAGTAAACTGCACGTATATGTTTTCATAGACATTTATAATATACACTATACAGGAGCACGTTAAATTAAAGTAAACTGCACGTATATGTTTTCACAAGACATAATATACACTATACAGGAGCACGTTAAACTAAAGTAAACTGCATGTATATGTGTTCATAGACATTTATCATATACACTAGTAGCACGTTAAACTAAAGTAAACTGCATGTATATGTTTTCACAGACATTTATAATATACAGTATACAGGAGCACGTTAAACTAAAGTAAACTGCACGGATATGTTTTCACAGACATTTATAATATACACTATACAGGAGCACGTTAAACTAAAGTAAACTGCACGTATATGTTTTCATAGACATTTATAATATACACTATACGGTAAAAGTAAACTGCACGTATATGTTTTCATAGACATTTATAATATACACTATACGGTAGCACCTTAAACTAAAGTAAACTGCACGTATATGTTTTCACAGACATTTATAATATACACTATACAGGAGCACGTTAAACTAAAGTAAACTGCACGTATATGTTTTCTTAGACATTTATAATACACACTATACAGTAGCACCTTAAACTAAAGTAAACTGCACATAACTTTTCTTGTTGAAGAGCTATAAGAGGAATAACTATTATTTGAAAGTAATAGGATAAAGTTACACTTATACTTGAGCAAAAACACAAAACTAGGGGAGCTACAAGGTCGCAAAATTTGACCAGCAATATTGCATATTATTTATTATTAAAACATTGAAAAGCGTTGACAATCAAATGATGGAAACTAATAATTCATATTTCTACTCCATGCATAGTCAAAGGGTAGCTGATTTACTTAGGACATGACAATATGTAAAGGAGCTGAGTCATTGCCACAAACTTAAATTTTCTAATCCCAATATTGACAATGATGTAAACCTTTAATATTTCAAATTGAGATTATTTTATTGAACAGAATTCATATTTTGACACTTTTAAGGTAGGGTTTTCAATTGGAAATCCGATGCGCGGAATTGTGCGGTGAGCGGAGCTTACACGGCTCAGAATTTACGACATTGGGTTTCAAAGATATAGAATATAGGCAAAGACTTAATTTCTTTAAAATGATCAGTACTAATGTGTATCTAATGTTGGGTTTAATTACTAAATTGGTTTAAACAGGATACTCTCTGAACACAACCTCCACAGCTGAAGCAGAAGGTAGGTTTTTAACATTTTTAAGTTCATCTAAACAATACATATTATTGGCTGGGTCGTTTTTCACTTTTTCTACCTTAGATCTTAGTATGTGTACGGGATAAAAACCCCTGAAGATTCTAAAATCTTTGCAACAATCAAAAAAATTATTCAAAATTTGTTTCTAATGGCTAGCTGGGAGCTATTTTAAGAAAGATCAACAGAACAGTTAAGTTACTGAAAAGACCCAAACACTAAATTCTTCAAAATATCAAAATGAATATTTAACAAATCAAAAACAAAAACAAATAGTTTTTGTATTCAAATATATGGTAGAATCCCACAAAACTCGTTTTTTGGCCGTCAAAGAATTTAAGAAATGTAAAAAAAATGTGGACTGTATTCAGCTGCTTGATATTTACCTTTTAATATATCAATATATTCTGAATAATATTTTTATATCCCACTACTGATTTTTAGGATTCATTATTTTCTTAATGGTTCTCCATCTTGCCTTTTCCATTTTTCATAAATTCGTTGTTGAAGTATTTAGAATATTCAATTTTATTTGATGCTGTTATTAAACAAACAACTGCAGTGTTTCATGTTCATTAACTCATTTAAAGTCATAACTAGCGTCTAACAGTCGTCTTCCTAATCCACAGTTTGAAGTCTTACTGTTGGAATTTCGGGTTAAAGGGACTGTTGTTTAAATTTCAGAGGGGCATGCAAGATTCGCAGCGAGAAGCCACAATCATAAATGATAAATGATAACTTTCTTATGCAATCTTTTGATCAGACAAAGCTTAAAAGAGTATTGTTATAAACAAGACATGCCACTCTAAAAATGGAGATTCGCTTGAAATTATGTTAACACTTTTTCAAATATTTTCACCATGTTCTATTTAGGGATTTTGATTAGTTTAATTGGGTCTGATAACTCTGAGATAGCCTCAGTAGCCCTTAGATTTGGAGATGATATCAAGATACAATTTGAAACAACTACCCTACCCTCTGGACTTAAGCTTGGAGACAAATTTGATATTTTTATATCATGCAATGCATCAAGTTTTCAGGTATCTTATTTTTTAAGAACTATTGTTCCCAAAAATATGTAATCACCATTGATAAATACAAAAAGTTTTCTATTCACCCCTTCCTAAAAATTACAGTTTGATATCTTTACTTTATCATTTTAAAATTTACAATATTCAGTCCCTGCTTTTCTAGAAAAACATAAAAATATATTCCTTATATATATTTATTTTAGATTTATGTAAATAACATTTTCAATGGAGAGATGAAAATTCCAGCAGGATCAAAAATCACCAAAACAGTAATAAATTTGAATTCTAATTTTGTTTCAAATGTGCTTTTTGAGCAGCTTGCTTATGATGGAAACACATTTTCAGCCCCAATCACCGCAAACAGAATTGGATGTACAGGTTGTTTCATTCACTAGAAATAAATTCGTTTAGTATAATCCAACTTTTTTATTCACAATATATAATACATTGACACCCTATATATTATTCAAAGGTGGTGTTTGCCACAAAGTTTTGGCAGAGAAAGTAAAGCTCATTCAAGTATATGAAACTGCTGATAAGAAAATGGTAGGCTTACTAATTTATAAAAATAGTTTAACTAATAAAAAATATTGTCATTAGGTAAAATACCTCACTGGAGTACCTATAGTAAGATGCCATAGAACTCCGATTAACAATTTGAAGTGCAACATAATAAAATTTAAATGGTTTGTTGCTTACTTAAAATTACTTTTACCATTTTATGAAGAACAATCATGAAAAAATTGCCTAGGCACACAAATCAAATAAATGAGCCTGGATTACCAACAAGTTCTGTTTGTCCCCTTGAAGGGAACAATGTTGCACTGGGCCAGCAATGCCTTCAAGTTGATAAAGCACAATTATCTTACAAAGATGCAGTTGTGGCCTGTGGAAAGAAGCTTGGTATGATAGCAGCTCCTGTCAATGATATTCAGAATGTTATTTTAAGGTAAAATTTTGCTAAAAAATCTGCCTTCAAGATTTAGAAGAAATTGGGAGAATCAAATGTTAGTAGTGTTTTTTTTAAAAGTTATTTTTGTTATTTTTAGAGTTAATGCAGTTGAAAAAAGTATGGGTTCCTACTGGATAGGAGTCAGAAAAATAAATGAAACTTGGATAAAAACAAACGGAAATCCAATGTCTATGATTGATTTGAAAATAAAAAATTATTGGAGTGAAGGAGATTGTATAGTTGCAGATGCAGATGATGATTATAAACCCAAGGCTGTCAGCTGTGATTTAACATTTTCGGTAGAACATCTTGATAATATTAAGACTAAAATTGGATTTCATTTACCTAAGGATGCAGAATGTAGATGTACTTGTAAGTGACTCTCCATTTAAAAAAGAGGAATGTCTGATTCACCTTCAGTGCCCTTTTAACCTCTATCTAAGCAGCAATTAAAAAGATATTGTAATTTCTCATTCAATGTTGTTTATAATTTTTTGTATCTGTTGCATAATTCTGAAAGTCTCTTTTATAGAGAAACCACAATCAAAAATAATCAACTGAAAAACTACCAAATAAGGGTGCCTCAGTCATTGCTTAAAAAACAAAGGTTTACTTGAGTCGAACAAGCCAGTCTGTAAATGAAAAGTCATTTTAAATTATATATACAGCCCCTTTAAAAATCAGAAAGATATTGAAAAGTATAACTTGTGTTTAGCATTATTGCATGATGGCTCCTAGCTGTCCCAGAAATTATACTTGGCTACCTGAGCTAGGACGAACTTGCGTTAAAATTGGGGAAATCCCTTCTCCGGATGGCTTGAATGTAGATGTTCTGTCAGGTCCAAAGCTTCAATAATTTAAATGTTATTATGCTGACTTGCACCCATTTACTTATTTTGATTACATTTGCAGGTGAAGCTGTTTGTGCTAAAGAAGGAACAAGATTGTTTACACCAACCTCTAAGTATGATCTAGACACAGTGTCTAAGTGGTTGCCTTCCAGAAGAATGCAATACAGCTCAGATTTTGAAGTTTTCCTTGGTAAAATTCTTTTAAATCTCATATAAGTTGGCATAGTAAAGTCGGAAGAAGATATTAAAATGCTTCTTTAAGAAATTTGTTATATTGGGGTTATTTTTGGCTGAAATAATGTTGAAAAAAATAGCAAATTTGTAATTTAGGATGGAGAGGATACAAGGAAGAATCAACACATATATTCAAATCTCCTTTTTCAATGGAGAAAGTAAACATCTCTATGTTTCAAAATATAGTAACTGATATTGCCACAACTAAGAATGAGTGCTTTAAACTTGGTCCTTCTTCCAGCTCTGCTCCTCTTATATTTGAGATAAGTTGCCTTCATAAGAAGCAAACTTTGCCTGTTGAAGATCCAGACATTAGAGTGGTGTGTCAATACTCAGAGTGTGTAACTGTTGATTCCCAAGTTTGTCAATTTCCTTTCAGGTTCAAAGGACGTCTTTATGATACTTGTGTGACTTTAGAATCAGAAACCCCTTGGTGCAGTTTAGAGAGAGGTTTGGACCTGAAACACATTGACACGGGAAATAGTAGAGGACAATGTAAACCAAGCTGTTTAGTTCAGAATTGTCCAGTTGGATATTTTGAATTTAAAGGGAACTGTTTCCTAATTTCAGCACCTACATCAAATGGAATTGTCAGTTCTGTGGAAGAAGCTGAGCAGGTTTGCACGGAACAAGGAGCCAGACTATACCAACCAAGAGACTTTTTTCACTTTGATTACCTAATAGATACAGAATACCATTATTTGAAACCAAATGCTTCACACTACAAGCATCTGACCAATTACTCTCTTATTATGCTTGGTGCATACACTGATAAAGTTGTGCCTGATCTAGAACTACACTACAATGATGGAACTCGAGCATATATGCTTGAGAAAAAAGTCAAGCTTCAAGGAAGTGTTATATCTCATACAATTACAGCTCTTTCTAGCTATACAGGAAGAGCATGCCTAATGTTGGATCAAAATGGAAAGCTAAGCATTGAGAAATGTGCAGATGTTGAAGACTCAAACCTAGGCTATTTATGTGAGGCACGTAAGTTCATTGCTCTGGATGGTCCAGATCTGGGTAAATCTTGCCATTTTCCATTCAAAACAAGTATTAATGATACATGGCACAATTCATGTTTGTTTAATGATACTTTAAATGAATCATGGTGTGCCACTGAAGTGGATAGTGATGGCGTTGTAATCTTTAATAAATGGGGAATATGTCAAGATGAAAGAGAAATAACCTACAGAGGGGATGGATCTGGCAATTCCTGTATTATTCCATTTCTCTATGACAGAGTCTGGTATGATCAATGCATACTAGAGCCTGAAACTGAACTATGGTGCCCAACAAAGCTGAACCCAACAAGACTTTTTAACCTTACAAGTGATGATATAGGATATTGTACCGAACATTGGAAACCTCTTGTATTTGAATGCAATCAGAATTATGAAAAAGTTAACAATGTCTGCATTAGAGTTTCTGCCTATGCAGAAACTTTCAAAAATGCTGCAGCTAAGTGTGAAATAGAAGGGTCCTATCTGCTGCCTATTATGGATTCAGAAGTTCTTCCCCCAATTTGGAATTACATCAAGGCTCTGTCAGACAGTAAGATTTATTTTCAACAAGAATTCTCTCCAGATCTCTCAACCTACTGGGTAGGCGGAACCGTCAGAAACTTCAAATGGACATGGATTGCAAATGGTAAAAATTTCTCTATTTACAATGACTGGGTTGATGGAAAAGAAAATACAGGGTGCATACAAAATATCTGTACTGATAATTATGCCTTATCCATAAATACAAAAAAAGAGAACAAGTGGCAGGCAGATGACAAATCCAAAATTAAGCCTTACATTTGTCAATCAAAATGTAGAGTCGGTTTCAAATGGTATTCCGAGAGTAAGAAATGTTTGCAAGTTGTTGATATTGCAACAGCATTCTCTACTGCAACCTACAACTGTGCCCATCAGAACTCAAGACTTGCAAATTTAAACCATTGTGAAGAATTTACTAGTCTAGCTAATGATGTGTGGAAGATAAGCAAATCCCAATCTAAAGAATATTGGCTTGGATACTTTGCTGGTGGAATGGAAAACTATAATCCATCCAGGATTACCAATGCAAATCTGGAAAAGTTAAAAACATTTTCTTCAACTGGATTTCTTGGAATACAAAGTTGTCCATGGCTCTCTTCAGTGGATGTGAATGTAGATCAGTATAAAGGGTTCCTACAGTTTACCTCAACTGATCCTTCTTCTTCAAAAATGGAATTCCTACCAATTCCACAGTCCTTGAATTTAATGGAGGAAAAAGGATACATTTGTGAATATGAAGAAGACTGGATTTGTCCGAATGGTTACATACTTTTTCAAGAAGAATGTTACAAGATTTTTGACAATGCAACCACTTACTCTGATGCCTTTATAGTATGTAATAAAGAAAAGGGCATAGCAATGGAACCTTTAAGTAAACTTCACATTGTCTTTTTATCCACGTATATTCTTGCTAATAATATGTCAACCCCTTTAAGAACTGGATTCAGAAGAAACTTAAATAGACAGAATAATGAAACAGATGAATACTTCTCATCATCCTCAGATAATTCGATAATAAACCTTGCAAATTTAGCTGGTAAGCATTGAAAAAGATTGATCCTGATTCCATTATAAAATTGGTCTAAAACAGATTGACCAACCTAAAAAACTTTCAAATAAGTATAATACGAATAAAAGAGATATTTGAATTTTAAACAAGGTTATCCTTATTTTATCATTTTGTGTAAATATTCATCTTTTACAAATCTATTTGGTTATTGGGATCAATACAACAATTAGAGTGTACCTATGTAAAGAACTTTATTTTTAAGGTAGTGGAGACTGTGTAGCTCTAGACCAAGTTTCTGTTACTCTTCAGAAAGTTGATTGTTATAATTTACTTCCATTTGTTTGTCAAACAAAACAAATGACAAATATGGATAAAGTTGAGGTTATGGGAATACCAGACTATACATTTCCCTTGGATAATATCACAGAAGGGTCCAAGGATAATTATGTTGGATTTTCAGATATCCCTGTCAATCCAACAGAATTAATTAGGTCGGCCTTTTTCATGGGAGATCCATCTTCATACATTGATGTATTAAATGTTAAGAATGTTACAGCTAAGTATGGGTTGTCAATTTGTATGTGGATCAAACCCAGGACTCCAAGCCTAACTGGCTTGAAAGAAACAATTCTGGATTTTTCTGTTTCAATTTCAAATCAGAGTCTTATAATTTTCCTTTATGAGAAGAGAGTTGGAGCAAAGCTGTGTTCAAGTGCAGGGACATCGTGTACTGAATTCTTCTCTCATGGTTTGCTTAGTGTTCATGATTGGAATTTCATTGCCTTTGCATACGGAGTGGAAACAAACAAGGGGACTTTTTTCATTAATAGCACCTTCGGGATTCAGGACAGGGAAGGGACATACTTTAATTTTAACACCCAAGGGTGGTTTGCTAAATCTACCGATGCTCACTATTTGAGAATTGGTTCAGACATTGGAAACCAGCATGCATTCTTAGGAGAGATATCCTGCCTTCAAATTTCAAATAGTATGCTTACTATCTCACAATTTTATCAGATGAGTCAAATTTGCCATGTGATAAAAGATTATCCTAGATCTAAACCCTGTCCTTCAGGCTACTTTCTCATGAACATGAATTGCTTTAAACTATCTAGTTCTCCTCTCAGCTTTACTGATGCTGAAATAAGCTGCATTTCAGAGCCTAACGATCCCTATGTAACTAGACTAGCCTACCCTGAGTCTTATGTTACCATGGAAAACTTAATGAGCTATTTGAAGCATTTAAGAAATATATCTGAATTATATGTTGGACTGGACTCAATATCAGGTATAGATTTTAATCAACAAACTTCTTAGAAAGTTATTAATTTAAACTATCCAGCTCAACCAACTGGGAGCCAGTGGATAAGCAGTGAAGGCAGAGAAATTACACATGCACCTTGGTACAATGGTCAGTTAAATGCATCAATGAATTGTGCCGTTATGGATTTCAAACATTCAAAGTAAGCCAACACATTATTAAGATATTTAAGTACAAAAAGAGGGCTTACTATTTTTTACAGTGGCTTTAGCATTCTTATGAATTATGTGAATTTTAAAATGTCTTTACAAAGGAATTGATTCATTGCCACAAACTCAAACTTTTTAATTCTTATATCTTTGCAACCTGATAGTGTATTTCAAACTTAGATAATTTGATCTAACAATATTCATAGTTTAAAATATCTAATGTCTACGACATAGGGATGAGATCATCAGATTTTGTTTGAAAGACTCAATTCTTTTCTTCAATTTTTTTTAGAAATTAAAGAATACAATTATCTCTATTTTTTACTGTTTAGTTTTTTAAAGACAGTTGATTGCAAAGAAAAGTTTTACTTTTTCTGTTCAACTCCGTCAGAAACCAAATCAATATGCCCAGAAGGCCATATAAGCTACAAAGGAAAATGTATACTCTACAAAAATGAAATGTCAACATTCAAAGGAGCAAAACATGAATGTGCTAAACATGGTGGAATTGTTTTACCCATCAAAACAAAAGGAATGTACGAGTTTATAAAGAAGTATTCTCTAAAAATAAAAACAGGTGATATATTTATTGGCTTTAATCTTACTGTTCCTCAAGTTTACACTGATGGTACTTCATACAACAATCAATCATTCAAATTCGATGGAGATGACACCAAATTAAATGGGTTGGCATGTGCTTTCTTAAAAAGAGGAATTAAATATTTGGTTCGTGGAGCATTTTGTGAGGAACAATATAATTTCTATTGTGAATGGACAGGTAATACATTACATTTTATTTTCTTTTTATGAATTCAAATTAAAAATGTTGGGTTTATTATAAAGAATTACAACAGATATGGAAGCATAATTATAATGCAGTTTTTACTTCTTTGAGTAGATCCAATATGTCCTGAAGGGTTTGATAAGTCCCATTCAGAAAAAGATGGTCGGTCTTGCTATTCTCTTTCTTTAGGTAAAATTATCATATCTTTTGCATTAGTTAGAAGTAGGGTTTCCAGCAAAATGTAAAAATTGTTGCATGCAAATACTTATTCTGCTTCAAGTTCTGCATTTTTTGCACTTCCTAATGTATTATAGAAAATGAGAATAGCTGTCCTGTACAGTTTCAAACAGCCTTTCTAGTATTGTCTTGGTGAAGCAATTTAGAATTTGTTGTAAAATTCACCTGATTCAGATAAAACAAAACATGGAAATGAATTGTGTTCCATCAATGAAAATTATGAGAGGAGAATGGGTCTACCTAACACTGTACATATAATAAATAAGTTCCTTCAAACAAATAGGTATTAATTTTGATTTATAAACCCCTTTGATCCAACTTTTAAGAAAGCTTTGCTGTTTTATATGCATATAAAATATAAGTATTTTGTTATTTATTTGTGACATTTTCGGCCACTAGTAAGACACAGATGAGCTATGCATACTTTTCAGCATTCTAATTTGAAAAGAAAATGTTGTAATCTATAATTTATTTGCTTTGATTATAATGGATCATGCATTAATATTTTTGATATCAGAATAAATAATAATAATTCTTGTTTGAAAAAGGTTTAGATCTGTCTGGATTGATGCCACCACAAAAGAAAATTTTGACTGGACCCCAAAGGTAAATCAATTAATTTTGATTCAGTTACAAGATTTTAATTTCTTAAATTTTGGGAGGATATTACACACCTTTACTAACTGTGATGTAAAATTTCATTAATTAGATGGACCGGGTAAATGCATTTAATTTTCCAATGCTAATAGAAGACTATTCTAAAGAGAGGTCATGGATAGATGCTGAAAAAAGCAGAGGTAGTGCATAACAATCTATAAATGTGACATGTTTTATTGTTGCATATATCAATCTACATAGAATTTGGCAATAACTATTTATAACACTGTTAGTTTGGGTTTGCAGTGTCATAAAGTTTTTGGCCAGACATTTTCTCTTTTTCAAGAGGGGTCAAGTCATTTTAGATTTTATTTTGTCTGTGCTTTAGCAAGAGACAAAATATAGTAAGTAGTAAATAAGGCGAGAACCTTTGAGATATAGAGAAAATTTGAGTCCAAAAACTTTATAGCACATTGTGCCAAAATAATAGTGTTATATGTAATTTTGTGAAACTTGTGTGTACTTGTCTAATTTCAATTGCTATTTCTAGATCAAATAAGCTTTGAAACATATATTTATATAAAGTTGATTTCAATTTTATTTTCATTTTGGAAATATCCTAAATTTTTTGGAGAAAATCCGAGAACCAATTAAAACTTTATACTAACACACTTGCTACAATGTACAGTTAATTTAACTTTATAGCATGATGATTACTTTACAGCATGTTCATTATGAAATTCACGATGAAGAGAGGGAGAATGATAAAGTACAGGATAGTTTCATAAAACAACCCATACAACCCCAATGATAGTTTTTGGATGGTTAAGTTGTTGCTAGAAGTGGGGGGGGGGGAGCTCAAATAGACTTGAGTCAGATAATTCATCATTAATTTCAGAACTGTTCTTGGAAAATACAAGTACTTCAGAGATATTGACTTTTAAACCAAGCATCTGTTCATCAAATGGAAAAGAGGTTTTTAAAGTTTATGGAATCTTTGTAACCAGGAGATTAGATATAAACAAACCTGTGGTTAAAATAATGCAAGATCAAAACAATACTCTTCTAAAATGGGTGTTTCATAAAGATATTGTGAGCACCTTCACCTTGAATTCTATAAGGAATGGTGTTTCATCAGACCAAGTTGTGACTAATCTAACCAATCCTAACTTGACTAACTTCTTAGATTTCAGTCTTGCCGTAGCATGTCAGGGATCTAACTTTGAAGTTACATTTAATGACCACTGGCTTGCATCTTTAGGGTTCAATTCTTCAGAACTAAATTTCACAAATGAGATTGTGCTCTCAGGGGGATTCAAAGTTGTTAAAGCTGGATACACTGGCCAGGTAATTAATTAGCTAGAATACTAGGGTTCATGTATTTTCAAAAAAGATCTCTTAAAGAGTATGGAAATGAAAAATATAGAACAAAAAAATATTATAGAATAAAAAAAATTCTTGAATTTAAAATTTAACACTTTTTGGAACGATATGTCAACAAAACACTAGTAGAACTTAATATATAAAATTGGTTTTTGTAGTGTTATCAAAACTATAGGGTCAAAAAGTCATATTATCAGGGACTGAATTTAATGAATTGGAGAGGTCACAGAACTACTAACTACAGGTTCAAATTCTTCAAGATTGGGAAATTCAGGATTTGAGCTAGTTCAGTGACCTCTCTTCTCTCTTCAACTCAAAAACGGGAATGGGCACATTTCCCTCAAATGACACAAATTTTCAATGTGGATTCAAGCCTTCATGTTTTAAGCTATTTTCTTCAGATTTTACATGAGTCAGAGTTATAATGATTAACTCCAGGAATGTAACTTTCTAAATGTACATAATAAAAAATGTTTTCCCGCCATTTTTCCCTTGGAAATTGAATTTGAGTTCCTTTCTTCATTTTTGAAATTTTTCTGTTCAAACTTTGTATTCAGATCATAATTTTCATGAACTTTTGGGACTGAAAAAATTTTTTTGATAAACACTTTTTGTGCATTGAAAAGCAATAAAACAAGACACAAAAATGTTTGATGTATAAAAGCACCAATTTAAAAATTTCCCGCCATATAAGACAAAATCAGGATAAAAGATTTCTTTCAAGATAGATTTTGCAGGGAAACTGGAATATTGATTTATGTTTGAATTAAGTTATTGAAAACCATAAAAATCTGAAATTTTTTGGCATATTTTAATGTTTACCATTTGAGCGATCAAAATGAAATTCTAAATGAAGGAAGTGCAATAATGTAGAGAGAAAAACTGACATCAACAATTCCTTTAAATAGTATGCGGGATATGTCACTTATTCTTATACCACTCAGGGAGGCAAATGTAGCGTTTTCAGTTATCTGCAATTCACAAAGCTAAAGCTAAACTTTAAGATGACAACTGACATAAAAACCAGACTTTATCTTTAAAAGCTCCAGAGATCAAAAAAGGAAGGTCCAATAACATCAGGAATGTTAAAGGTCAATATTTCTTTAGTAGAGTTATACTGAAAGAAAACAGGAAGAATAATATGCCTCACTATATAATGACTCATTACGTTTATTACTTAAAACTAATGCATTCAGGAACACTTTTTCATAAAGAAATTATTATATGTTAATTAAACGCACTGTATATAAAAACTAAGAGTTACCCATCTTTTCAAAGAAAATATATAAATTAAACATTCATTAAGGGATGTCTAACGTTGTCAGCCAATGGATTAGTAATCCCAAAATATGGACGTGAATGTGAGAGAGAATTGCCTGCTGTCTGTGAACATCAGTTTTGTTTCACAAGAGATGGCTTCAAGTGCCAGTTCCCATTTGAATATAAAAGTGTTACTTATCATAACTGCAGCACAGAAGATATGTATGAGTCCTGGTGCCCAACAGGTACCTATGTATTAAAACTTTGCTACTTGTTTTAACCTTTGAATATTTAGAATTAGGAACTAACGGAGAGATACTAAACTGGGGATATTGCTTAGAAGACTGTCCATCTATGCCCCTTCAAGTTTCTTGTTTAAACCCGCCGCCTGTTCCTGCTTTTGGGACGTATGGCACTGAAGCTGTTAATTTTGAATCAAGTTGGTTTAACATATCAACCATAGACAGACCAAAGTACAAGGTATCTGCTACTAAACGAAGACTTCATCATCCAGATTGGATCTATGAAGCTGGGAACACAACTGATCTAATAGAGATCTGGATGAACAACAGTAAGACTGGAGATTTCAAGGACCTTTATTCTATTGTTACTGATGGAGGAAATGTGACCTACACTTGTCCCATTGGATATGTGTTCAATGCAACCCACAATATAACCTTTGTTGCAATTTGCAGTAACTGGACCTGGGAAGCAGATTTTAATGAAACCTTGAGCTGTGTTCGTAAGTTACCAAAAATGTATAATTATTAAAGCCAGGATTTAAACATTATACAGGGTGTCTCAAAAAAAAACTGTGCAGTAGGGGTATTAGTAACTGAAGAAACAATTTTCGTTCAATTTTTACGATCAAGGTGTCATTCGAAAGCTCTATATTTCAGTTATTTCATGATGTGAAATTTTTCTTATTTATATTTTAGCGGTTTACTGTGATGCCAGTGTACCTACCTTGCCAAATAACTCTGCTAATGCCACAACCAATCTTGCTGAAAGAAAAACATTAGACAAAGATTGGAATGCTTATGGAAAAAATGTGTCATTTACATGTCCAGAGGGTCATGTGCTAGAATATCCAGATGCCTACAATGAACAGGATGTTCCTCATGATACATTTGAACTTCGTTGTGATGCTGACCGCAGATGGAGACCAGTGCTTTTGAACAATGTTTTCCCTAATTTACCTGTTATGCCACGATGTATACGTAAGTGCTTTAAATAAAATGTTTTATTTTATTTAGTAGATTTAATTTAAATTTTCTGTTTAGCAATAAATTGCACAACCCCACCATACGAAGTTGAAGAAAATGGACTTCAAGAAATGAGTTGGCAAGAGGTGGACGGGAATCCCAGACCATTTGCTGTTATAGTTACTTATAAATGTAGCAAAGCAGAATGGGGATATGCTTCAAATGGTGAAAATAAAGTTGTTTCAAGATGTGACAAGGATGGAACATGGAATGTGACTTTTGTAGAACCTTGCATCAGTAAGTTATCATTAAATTTTAACTTAAATATTGCTTGAACAGGAATCTATTTCAGAGCTTCCTTGTCCATTACAGCCCCCTCCAGGACACAATGGAACTGGAGCTCTGCGGCTCTATGACCCATCTAGTACTAGGTAAAATCAAGGGTAAAAGTGTTTACCCGAAAATTTCGGGAATGATATTTGGGAAGTTTTTTCCATTTTTTTCCATCAGAAATTGTCCCAACCTGGAACAGGATTCCAGAAATATCTGTTTTATAGGGGTAAAATTGTTCCAGTACAATAAAATTATATTTGTGTAAGTGTACTAAGTAAATGATAAACCTGAATTCTGGTTGAAACCTTAGTTCTTAAGGTAAAATTCTCAAAGGAATTGAGCTTTTGCCACAAACTTTAATTTTTTACTCAATGTAAATAACCTTAGATATTTCAAAGTATGTATATAGTCTTATTTTGAAATGTCAAAAGTTTACACTATCAGGTTGTAAAGATATTGGGATAAAAAAATTGAATTTGTGGCAGACTCAATTCCTTTCCTAAGACATGATGACAACCCAAGCTACAATATCAGTATATAAGTAAAGAATTTCCCAAATTTGGCTGTTTTTTTTACATTTTTATCTTAACAGCAACCAACAGTGAATCGTAATAGTTCTATCTATACTCTTTTCTCTTCAGGTATAAATGCCAAAATGGATATGAATTTATTAATGGAGATTTCCCCTTCTGGAATAATGATTGTTTACCAACCAGACAATGGAGTAGGCAATCAAGGCCTTTAGATTGCAAAAGTAAGCATTTTTTTTAACAAATCTTTGGATTAAACAAAAATTAAATAATATCAAAAACCAGAAAACTCTGGAAGGAATGCCATATTTTTTCCTTTTACATAAAGAGACTCTAGATCAGAAAAAGTTTTTCATCGGACGTGCTCATCTTTTTAAATGGAAGGTCACTTGGAGTTGCAATAAATGTCACTAACGATTTTGTAACTTGCAATTCAATAAGAATTCTATTGTTTCCTGGTTCTCACTGTATTAAAACTACATATTTATTTTCATCTGTTTAGAAAGAAGATGTCTAAAGCCACCCCCTGGAATACCTCTAGGTATGGAAAGAATTTGGCCTCTTTATGTAAATGAACTTGGGAATCAAATAATCTATCGATGTCCAAACGGAAAGATGATTGATATTCCACTGCCCAGGTGTTCTATGTTTACAATCTAAAATATTAAGCTTTTTTCTAGAGCACTCCAAACCCCTATTGAAGCTATAATTTTTGCTATTCAAAGAGAGTGTTCGTGAAAAATGAAAGGGGGTATAGGCTTAATGCGATAAAAAAGCGCTTTTGATTGCTAATAATATTACTTCTATCTGTCTGTTGCGTCTATAAGGAGAAAATTGTAAAAACGACTAATGCCAAAGAAAGTATAGTGTCCATACAAATTTAGAATGATGCAACATTCAACTCGGATTGTAAACAAATCAATTTAATTCCAAACAAATCATTCAGACAAACAATAGTCATAGATTATTTTTCGACGAATTCGTAAATAGTTAATATTTCATAATATTTTGTATTTTTCATGATCTGAGAGTTACTTTTGAAAACATTTATTCCTGTTGCGAGGATTTTTGATAATGAAGACGACATTTTCATATTTTCCAGGAATGTTCAAAAATCCAGCGCCAGCGAAAATTATTTAAATAAAAAAAAATAAAAAATATTATGAAATATTAACTATATACAAATGCGTCGAAAAAGAATCGATGACTACTGTTTGTAATATCTGAATGATTTGTTTGGAATTAAATTGATTTGTTTACGATCCGAGTTGAATGTTGCATCTTTCCGAATTTGTATGGACGCTGCGTTCTTTGGTGTGAGAGTCGTTTTTAACAAATTTTCTCCTTATAGACGCAACAGATAGAAGTAAGATTAGTATCGATCAAAAGCGCTTTTTTATCACATTAAGCCTATACCCCCTTTCATTTTTCGCGAACACTCCCTTTAAGTCTCCATTTTTCTTTGTAGTTGTAAAATACAATATTTCGCAGACTTGGCTGTTAACTCATTGTTAAGATTTAAAATTTAAAAAGTCAACAGTTGTTTCCAGGCACAATTTTTCCATATTGACCAATAACCATCCATAAAATCTTCTTCTAAATACCATCAAGATATGCACAGCATAATTTTGCAATTGAATGTATTTTACAGAAGAAAAAAAATTTAGTTTTAGAAAATGTTTATTTTTTACATATTTAGTTTGTTTCATGGTGTCTGTGTCAATTTTTTAAATTTTAAATTGAAAAAGATTTATTTGAAATTATGAATATGCAAATAGTGGACATAAGCCTTTGGATGGGTTATCTTGGGAAGAATATGGATCATTGCATCATCCTCAAAGAGGTATAGTATCTCCCCTCATGGACTTACCAGGGCTATAGAGATGCACTCGGTGTCTTCTATCTAAATTCAACAATTTCACCGACAAAAAAGTATAAAAAGAAAAAAGAAATACTCTAACTATAAATTAGGGAAAAATATAAAAACATATTTATCTATCCATCTATCTTTCTATCTTAACAAATATGTACCCAGCAAACAAAACTCGGCTGAAACTTGACTCTAACTCGACTTTTTACTCCCAGAAGTCAACTTTAACTCAACGTTTAAAGTTGACTTTAACTTTAAAATAGTCGTACCAGAACCAGACTTTAAGCTGAGATTGTATACAACTTTTGGACGATTTTTTATACCACTTATGGACGAGAATTTTCAACTCAGCAAAAACTCAACTTTTAAAGTTGATTTTAAGTCAACTTCTTGAGTCGAGTTTAAGTCGATATTAATTCGACTTTTTAAGTCGACTTTAAGTCGTAAATAGTCGTTCCAGAACTTGAATTTAAGCTGAGATTTTTTATCACTTTTTGACAAGTTTTTTCTAGTCGGCAAAAATTTGAGTTTAAGTTGACTTTGAAAATTGAGTTTAAGTCGAATTTTTAAGACGAGCTCAAGTCGACTTTTAAAGTTGAGTTTAAGTCGAGTTTAAGTGGCTTTTTATTACAATTTTTTTATTAGTACATAACTGGGATGAAAAATTCTACTTTTTTGCGATTTTTTTGTCTTAAGTTTTTGAATAGTTTGGATGAAAAAGACGTAAAAAAAGTCGACCATGTTGTTTATCTAGACCAGATTGTAGAGTGTACCTGGAACATATTGTTTATCTAGACCAGATTGTAGAGTGTACCTGGAACATATTGTTTATCTAGACCAGATTATAGAGTGCACCTGAAACATATTGTTTATCTAGACCAGATTGTAGAGTGTACCTGGAACATTATCTAGACCAGATTATAGAGTGCACCTGAAACATATTGTTTATCTAGACCAGATTGTAGAGTGTACCTGGAACATGTTGTTTATCTAGACCAGATTATAGAGTGTACCTGGAACATATTATTTATCTAGACCAGATTATAGAGTGTACCTGGAACATATTGTTTATCTAGACCAGATTATAAAGTGTACCTGGAACATATTGTTTATCTAGACCAGATTATAGAGTGTACCTGGAACATATTGTTTATCTAGACCAGATTATAGAGTGTACCTGGAAGCATGACCCAGCAGCAGGGTATGATGACAGCATGGTCTGGTGGCCTCCACAAGTTGTCTCATGCAACGGTAAACTATTATCCCAACTATACAAACATTTTAATTATCTTTTAATTGTGTAAAACTTCAACTATTTCTACAATTTCACAACATTCTTAACCATCCCAATTATGCAACGAAAAAAATAATTATCCTTCCAATTATGCAAATAATTTAAACATTATTCAAAATATGCAAAAATTCTAAATAAGTTATCCTAATTATGCAAAAATCTGAACTAAATTATCTCAATTATGTATAAAAATTTAGTTATTATCACAATTATGCAAAAATGTTAACGAAATTACCACAATTCATTCAAAAATGTTAACTGAATTTTCCCAATTATTCAAAAATGTTAATTAAATTATCCCAATTATTCAAAAATGTTAACTGAATTATCCCAATTATTCAAAAATGTTAAATTATCCCAATTATTCAAAAATGTTAACTGAATTATCCCAATTATTCAAAAATGTTAATTAAATTATCACAATTATTCAAAAATGTTAACTGAATTATCCCAATTATTCAAAAATGTTAACTGAATTATCCCAATTATTTTTAAATTTTAACTAAATTATCCCAATTATTCTAAGTATTTAACTATAATCTCAATCATGCAAAAATGCTAACTAAACTGTCCCAATTATGAAAATTTTAAAACTAGAATCCCAACTATACGAAAATGTTTATTAAATTATCCCAATTATTCAAAAAAGTTAACTGAATTATTCCAATTATTCAAAAATTTTAACTAAATTATCCCAATTATTCAAAGGATTTAACTATAATCCCAATCATGCAAAAATGCTAAAATTTTAAAACTAGAATCCCAACTATACGAAAATGTTTACTAAATTATCCCAATTATGCTAAATATTTAAAAATAATCCCGAAAATGCAAAAGCTTTTATTAGATTTAGTTTAATTTATCCCAATTATTCAAAATTTTTGACTAAATTATCCAAATTTTCCAGACTTAATTTAACAAGAATAAACGACCCTGTTTATAAACTTTTTAAAAATCTTAGGAATTTAACGCAAGATATGCCTTTATTAATTTTGTTTACATTAAGTAAAAGTTTGATATTGAATTCAAAGTTCATCTCTTTTTTTGCATGTACAATGGATGAGTCTGTTCTGGGATCATATAAAGAGAATTAGATAAAATCATTTTATAAAATATTAGATATTTAAAACATCTTTTAAATTCAAGTACTTCTAAAAGATGTTTTTACTAATATCTTCTTTTATAAAATGGTTTATTTGAGGCCCAGCAGCTTAACCAGGTGAGGTTTTTATTGGTTTCAAGGTGTAAAGATTATGACTTAAAGTTTTTTTTTACAATTTCGGAGCCTAGCATTTTTACTTTTTATTCTGTTCATGCGCCATGGGCAGTTTGAAAAGTAAAATTTATTATTTTTTTTTTCAACAAATTTGAAAATATTGTTGTTTTTGATTATAATTTGAATATCCATGACAATGGCCTGAATATGAATGTTGATGCCATGAATGATCACGAATATGACCTGAATATGAATGTTGGCTGATTTGTAATACCTTTGACGCTAATTTGATGGTATCCAGAATAACTTGGAAGCTTGAAAATTATAAATAACAAAAAACAAAAAATTAGAAGATTCCAGAATATTCTGGGTACCAATACATTAAACTAGGTTTCAGATTTTAACATTTATTAAACATGTATTTAGTAAACTTTAATTGAGAACAACTCAAGTTGTATTGTAACAAAATATAATCTTTCAACGATTTGTGATATTGCAGTCAGAATTTTCAATTATTGTAAGAAATGAAGTTCAGAAACGTTCTTGTTTTACAATTATTATCGTAAAAATTGTGATAAAAATAATATTTTATTATTGTAAAATGAAAAAACAAATGTAGCTGTGTGGTTTTTAACAATTTCAAATTATGTGAATGAGCTTTTTATCATGAAACTATATGAGCGCATAGAAATACCAAGAATATAGAATTTTTCTATAAAATGTGTCTCCTATAAAATATGCAATTCTGATCTGAAAATTAAAATCACGCAACCTTTTAAAATAAAAACACAATAAAAAATTATGGAATGGAGTCTTTGCCACAACCAGATTTTCTAATCTCATATCTTTGCAACCCAACGTCGTCGACTTCAGATATTTCTAACAATAAATTCTGGTAGTTCAAATAATTTAAGTTTGAAAACATAATTGGTTTGCACCATAATTTTCTGGCTTTTCAAACTAACACATTTCCCTTACTTAAGGCTTTTTTTAAATCAGTGCTTTTATGCTTACTGACTAAGTCCTTGCAGGCATACTGCTTAAATGCCTTATTTTACCTACACCAGACTAAACATATGTTTAGACCTACTTCCAGTCGTTGGATTTCAACATTTTATAGATCTTTAACCTTTAAAGGGAATTTGCACATTTATTAGTTTTTCTTGAATAAACAATTTTCTTTCTAATTTATGTAAAAATGACCTCAACACAGTTCTTGGCAGAAATTTATTTTGTATTTCAAATTATTGTTCTGTAAATCCTTCCAATCTTAGTAAAATGTTAGTTAAGAAACAAATAAAATATTTTGATGTCCCATTGGAACATGAATGGAAAGTTCCGGTTTTACTATTAAGTTGGAATTCAACTTTCCTAGCATTTGAGACTGAAATATATAGTGAAGTTTTATTTAAGTAAATAGTTCATCCGGACTTGTTCTCTAGGTATGACTTCTTTTCAAAATCGATATTAGGAAACCCAGGAAAGACAGTATAGGACAAATAAACGGTTTAAATTTTTGTTTCTTTTGCACATGTATATAAAATATAATCATAGCTGTAATATCATGGATTAATATTGTTGACAATGGCAAATCTTATGATAATAAATTCTTGAATTGAAAATAAATAAAAATTTCGATTTCTGAAACCAAATAGTGTTTTTCCGTAGTATTGTAGTGGTGCTGCTATGATTTTGTGTAATTTTTGTGTGATGTATCCACTATTTTACTCCTAGACAGTAAACATTGCATTTGACGACTTAAAAATTGCAGATTAAAATGATTTTGATCAAGTCAGGGGGAACGTAAATAAATTAATGCAGAATACGCCATAAGAAATGTAGCTCCAGCGCAATTTGCTGCAATGGATAAAAATGAATTCCAAATGTAAGAAAAAGTTGCGACAAATAGATTTATGAAGATATGAATGTATACATTATACAACTTTAATATTTTGTGCCTAAAAAAATCTTTAAAATCTTTTTCTTAAGAAAATTACCAATAAATCAAAGAAAAAAAATTATTATTATGATGCCCTGATTAAATATTATTATCATGATGCCCTGATTAAATATTATTATTATGATGCCCTAATTAAATATTATTATTATGATGCCCTGATTAAATATTATTATTATGATGCCCTGATTAAATATTATTATTATGATGCCCTGATTAAATATTATTATTATGATGCCCTGATTAAATATTATTATTATGATGCCCTGATTAAAATATTATTATTATGATGCCCTGATTAAATATTATTATTATGATGCCCTGATTAAATATTATTATTATGATGCCCTAATTAAATATTATTATTATGATGCCCTAATTAAATATTATTATTATGATGCCCTAATTGAATATTATTATTATGATGCCCTGATTATTAAATATTATTATTATGATGCCCTAATTAAATATTATTATTATGATGCCCTAATGCCAATTTCTATATATTTTCTATTTTGGAAAAGAAAGTTACTAATAATTAATTGTGTCATGTCTTTTTTCTAAATTGTTTGTTATTAATTTGAAAAATAAAAATAATAAGAATTTCTGATTTTATGATGAGTAGATAAAAAATATCTTTTTCCGCACTTTCTTTGATTCAGTGGATGGGAAACCAACAGAAATGTACAGTGGTTAAATAGCTTGATATTTTCATAAACTGATATCATGCTAAAATATCCTCAAATTGGAAACCAACAGAAACATATAGTGGTTAAATAGCTTAATATTTTCATAAGCTAGTATCATGCTAAAATATCCTGGAAAATATCTTTTTCCGCACTTTCTTTGATTAAGTGGATTGGAAACCAACAGAAATGTACAGTGGTTAAATAGCTTGATATTTTCATAAACTGATATCATGTTAAAATATCCTGGAATTGGAAACCAACAGAAATGTATAGTTTTAACCACTTATTTTCATAAGCTGGAATTGTGTTAAAATATCCTGAGACCGAATTTAAAGAATTTAAGCCGCCGCTTAAATTTAAGCCTCGGCTCAAATATGGTTGGTATCACTTAAAATTGTATTAAATTTTTCAAGATTGAAGCCGGGGCTTGATTGGAACCGGTTTTTGGCGAATTTGGAACCCGGCTTAAATTCATTAAATTTGGACACTGGATTTTTATGAGGTCAAAAATCCAGTAATAATAGGTCGCTCAAACCATAAATTTTTATCAAATATTTTGTTTTTTTCTTCAAAACTGAAATAGGGTTTCAAAAACAAAATATGAACAAAAAAGGCTCATTTATTTTTTGCCTAATTTCCCAAATTCAGATCCAGTGCTATTTAGGCTAAAATATCCATTGGGCCTGATGAAATATTTAGATAAAAACAGATTTGTATACCCATGCGTTTCATTCATCTTTTACATTAAAGTATAGAGGTGGTCGTTAAAACTTTTTCAAAATCGCTTCCGGGGCAGCAGTATGTGCCATAAGGTTTAAAGTGAATATTTTTTTTTAAAAATTCAACACAAACGCAAGAAAGTTGGACGGAATGGTGCGCTATAGTGCGCAATTCCGTTGCGTTTATTGCGCACAATTATTACGGAATTGCACGCAATTTAATTCACTTGCGTTGGAAACCCTATAACTGTAGATATAATTTCACAATACTTAACGAGGAATACAAATTCTTCGAAGTTATTGAATTCGGATTTTTGAACAGATCCTTTGACGTTTTTTAAAACAAAGACTTTTTTATTGCATTTTTACTTTAAATTATATTGTTGTTTAAAATAGAAATAAAAAATTAGACTATAGATAAGATTTAATTGATATATACTAATAAATATATATCATCAGTAAGTATACACACATACTTGCAATGTATATGGGTTTGTCTGGTTGGGTTGGGGATGGGGTGAATTAGGAAAGAGGGGAAGTGCCCCTCCCCCCCCTCTCCTTTCCGAAGCTGTGCGCGGGTTATTGAGTTGTTTATAAGGATCGGTCAGATTAAAGTCTGGGGTATCACATGAATGGGGGGAGGGGTCTGTAAACCCTTTTTCAAAATCTACATAAATATGAAAATAATTTCTTTAAATTAAAAATTTTATAAGAAAAAAAAATAGAATTTTATTTTCATTCGAATTTTCTATTTTTCACTAAAATATCATTATCTGTTAAACCAAAGATGACGGAAAATCCTAATCAATGTTTATCAAATTTTGCAAATATTTTTCCTTCCTTATTTAAGTACAGTTCCCGCTGTATTTGGTGTACATGTAAAATACGCAAGCTCTGCTAAAGCTAAAGCACGAGGTATGCAAAATGGTTCGCAAATTTATAAATCTTAAGTGGGAGAGAGGGTAGTGGGGGGGAGGGTACTCAAGACTATCATCTACCTCTCTTCTCCACNCCCCCCTTCACCCATATCAACTAAACCCCGCCAGGGTTGACCGGGGGTCAGCGGGGCTAGCTAGCAGCAGTAAATATTGGTCGGTCAAGTAGACTACATTTATAAAAATGGCGTCCTGATTGTTTACATTTGATATAATAGTGTAAACATGAACGCTGGAGTGTTACCCTTGCCTCAGGAAATTAAGAAAATAATTTTTTTTTGAGAATTGAACATGTTGTTTTGTTTTTCCTGTTGTATAATAATGTTGTTGTATTCTTTCATTGATGTAAAACTTGACTATCTCAATCACAGGATAAAACAGCTTAACTTACTTACCTTTAGTATTTAGATTTGTTTACAGATGGTAATCTTATTGTTTGATTAGAATTGTTGGGTATGTCATTGGTTGTTAATTTATGTCATTGTTGCAAGAATAAAATTTTCAATGTTGTCAGACTGTGTCAATGTTGTCAGAGTGATGTCAATGTTGTCAATGTTGTCAGAGTGATGTCAAAGTTGTCAATTTTGTCAGAATGTTGCCAATGTTTTCATAGTGTTGTCAATTTTACCATAGGGTTGTCATAGTGTTGTTAATTTTGTCTTAGTAATGTCATTGTTGCAAGAGTAGTGTCAATGTTGTCAGAGTGATGTCAATGTTGGCAGATTGTTGCTAATTTTGTCCGAGTATTGTCAATATTGTCATAGTGTTGTCAATATTGTCATAGTGTTGTCAATATTGTCATAGTGTTGTCAATATTGTCATAGTGTTGTCAATGTTTTCTGAGAGTTAGATTATGTTAGCAGGCTGTTGTCATTGTTGTAAGAGTGCAGTATTAATGTTGACGAGTTTTGTGAGAGTGATGTTATTGTTTTCAAAGAGTTATTAAAGTGTTTTTCATATTAACTGAATCGAAAATTTATTTTGTTGATTATTTTAGTTTACCAATCAGCCTCCTTCTGTTAATGATGAAGATGTTGATACTAGGTAAAATTTTCTACAGGTTGATCAATAACATAATTTTGGATTCATAAGATTTTATAAATGGTGACCCCGCTTCCCCGTCAAAAAAAATCTTAATGAAATCCAATATAAAATTGTTTCAGCTAAACAATTATGTAAATTGTTGCATCTAATGATGGACAGCTGTTTAAGTATTAAAAAAATATTTCATTTTTAAAGGCTCTCCCAAGAATCTGATTTAAAATTGTATTTCATGACAGTTTGATTCCAATTCCTAGCGCAAAATTTAAGTTTTTCTGAAGATCATCCGAAAACTATTCATACAATTTTACAAACTGTTTTCTTTCTTTTTTTAGTGGAATTACTGCTACGTCTTTGTGACCTCTTAACTCTTCTAGTTTTGATTTATGGCACAAGCTTGATGTACGATATTTAACCCAGTTACATATTGGAAATTCAAAACATTTTTGTTCTTCTCTGTAACTCTGTTATAAGCAGAGTTATGATTGAAAGCAGTTCGAATTGCGTACAGTACAATGTACTGAATTTTAACATGCTGCATATTTTATGCAAGGTTTTGATGAATGTGAATATGGTTAAAATTTTGTTGAGTTTCTTTAATAAAGATAAAACAATTTAAATTATTTGATGCTAAATTGAAAAATCTGACTAACTCTAGATCCATTTTTAAAAATTAGACTACGAAGAAGCTGGGTTTTAATCATAGAGAATAGAATATATATGCTATTCTTTGGTTATAATGTACAAGTTATTTCAAAATTGCATCCTTGACAAATTTGCTGTAATTACATTAATAATTTTTTTTTTGTCTGTTCAAGATATCAAACGAATTTTAAAATATTAGAGAAAACATTTGCATGATGTAATGCAAGAATATAAGTTTACAATATAATACAGTGAAACCCGTAATAGCAAATACATCGGAAGAATTTATCAAATGTCGTCTTGACAATTTTTCAATGAGTTTTATACTATATTACGTAAATTTCAGTATTTGCGAAAATAAATAAATAGCCATGAATATGCAGGAACAGTTTTAAAGAGTTCCATATAATCATTCCATTATCAAAAAGTGAAGAATACGACATTTGATGAATTCTTTCGATGTATTCGTTATTAAGGGTTTCACTGTACATAACTCACATTCTTCATTCACAACTTTGCCCATCCCTATAATTAATAGTAAATTTATAATCTTGTAGAAATTGCTCCCTTTTTGAGCCAAAAAACTTAAATTTAAGATTAAATTTCTAGATTCACCTGTGATCAATGCGGAAGACATTTTCCATTTCGACCAAATCTGATAACACACATTAGAAGATCTCATAAGGTATGTTTCGTATCTGTAGTTCAAATACACTTTATACGCCCGTGTTAATAATCAAAAAGGATGAAACTTTAAAACCGGAAGTAGTAAATTTTATATCTTTTATCTTAAATTCTTGCTTCCCTGCAACTGTAAACTTGTTTCTTACTTGTCAATTAAAAGGAGTGTTCGCGAAAAATGAAAAAAGGGTAAAGCATACGGCGAAAAATAAACGCTATTGATCGCTACTAATCTTACTTCTATCTGTTGCGTCTATGAGTAGAAAATTGTTAAAAACGACTCGTACCGAAAATACGTAACATCCACCCTAATTGAGAAAATTGCAATTCACGACTCGGATAGTAAAATAATCAATTTAATATCAAACAAATCATTTAGATATTACAATGTGGCGAAAAATAATCGATGATTATAGGTTGTAATATCTGAATAATGTTTGAAATTAAAATTGATTTTTTTTTACAATCCAAGTCGTGGATTTGCAACTCTCTTAATTTGTGTAGATGCTGCTACGTTATTCAGCATAAGTCGTTTTTTACAATTTTCTCCTGATAGACGAAACAGATAGAAGTAAGATTAGTAGCGATTAAAAGCGCTTACTTTTCGCCGTATGCCGATACCCCTTTTCATTTTTCGCGAACACTCCCTTTAAGTCTCATTCTTTTTAGGTAACTCTGTATAATTGTTTTGTAAGCTTCTAATAATGAGTTTTCTTGTGGATTACAATTTAAAATCATGAAATTTTGATACACTATAAAAAAGTTCAACTTCTCATACCTAAAGTTAGTTTTTCTTGACAATTTTTTATTTGACTGTTAAATCGCAGAAGTTTTAATTAAACAGTTAGGTCAGCAAATTAATTTATTTAAGTGCTAAACTGTGTTAAAGAATAAGAAATCTGCAAAACCTTTTCGAAAAATGATTATATCATTCTACTTTTTAATAATACATTATTTATTTAAGCGATTTAAATACGCACTACACCATCAAAAAAAATGCAGTATATCCAATGTTAAGAAATATGCAGTGTAAGAACTTTTAAATAAGTTGCCTTGAAAATTACTCAATGATTTTTGCCGCTATAAATGCAAAACACTAAAGCTTTTTTGAAGCTGTCAAAAGTTTCTTGTCTGCTCGCGGCTTCAAATGAATATGTGTACATAAATTCTACTTTAACATAATCAAAATTTCAATGTAAAAATTAATTTTTTTCGCGCCTAAAATTTATAAGATATATAGACCGGAAATACATCTAATCATACATCTACATATATATATATATAAAGTTGTAATCTCTGTTTGGGTGTCTGTCTGTCTGTTTTTCCGCTCATAACTCAGGAACCCCTGGACTGATTTGCCTCAAATTTTGATTGGGAAGGTGGATTTAACGGTTCAGTCAATATTACAGAAAGATGTGACTTTCGAACAAAATTTGACCCCTTATACATAATTTTTTAACCTTTTTTCTGAAATACTTCTTTGTCAGTATAAACGTTTTGAATGAAACAGTATAGGATAAACAAATCCGTAAGTTTAAAGATTGTTAGAATATAGACCAAAACACGTTTTCCCTATGGTGATACGGTCCGGTCAGCCCATGGATACGTTTCGGCGGCTAGGAGCGCCGACCCCTATTTCATTGAATGATGGGTTGTCCTTTAATAATAATAATAATAATAATAGCTGGCCAAACGGCTGAACCAAATTGTTTGAATTGTGTTTGGAACCCATGGGTACCCCAGGGGTAACAGAGGGAATTTACTTCTTCAAAATTCAAAAAATTTTCAAACTTTTTTTAAAATTCCACGGGCAACGCCAGACACTTCAGCTAGCATACAATATAATCATATATTGATTTTCCAGGATCAACTAGAGCACTGCACATATCCTAACTGTGATAAAAAGTATCAGCACAGGTATGATTATTGACAATGCTTCGCGCCCATCACATTTATTCAAAGACTAGACTTGGCAGACTGTACAGCGTCCCAACCTATTGGCCTTTAATTTTAAACTAACTAAATTATATTATTTTGTAGCCCTATACATGTAAATTTTAAATCTACAACGGGCTTGTATTAACTTTGCTAAAAAGTATTTAGCACAATGATAGATTATTGCGTGAAAGCTTTCCCACTTTACATCACTGTGCCCTTCTGTTAAAACAATACAAAAAGAACTGATTTATAACCATGTTTAAAGGGACTGAAAAAGCGTAATTTTAAGCAACCCTCCATGCAGAGATGGCAATTTACAACGATATCTATAAAATATTTGTCTGATCAATTATGAATTGGATATCAATTGGATTACAATTTTGAAAACTGATTATTTCCAAATGTGGTTTTTTTTACAAAAGTGACTTGCGAATTGAATTTTCAGAATAAATTCCTTCAGGACATAAAAAACTTTATAAGAATGCCATCTTTGAGGATCACAAATGTGCGCCCTTCAATTTTTTTGTGAAAAATTACAAAATAAACTTTTAAACTTTTGATTTCATTGCTATATGTATTTTCAGATGGGACCTAACAAATCATATAGATGTTATACACTTGGGGAAAAAGGTAACGTATCAACTACTTTCTGATATATTACAAATTAGCTTTTTAAATAAAACTTATCTTTTTGAATTAAATTTTGTAGATCTTGTGTCCCCATTGCAGCGCTAGTTTTAGTAAGAAATCAAACCTTCACAACCATCTGAAGAGAGGGAAGGGTTGTCCAAGGTACATTAAACACATTTATTCTTCTAAATAATGGGTCTAAAATGATAAATGATAAACCTTTGGGCTGCGCCCTTGGGTTTATCATTGAATCCTTCGGGGGTTTAAATTTCCATTGATTCTAATTTGTCTGAGATGATACATTTGATGTTGTTACAAATTAAATAGTTTTGCTAGTAAGTTATTTTTTCACTCATACAGTAAAGATAGGTCTAAAAACTAAATTTCATCTTTCTATTCCAGGGGTTTCTGGTCTGTTTTTTCATTTGAGTTTGAAAAATGTTAAAAACGACTGAACCAAAAAAAATCGTAATTTTTGTTTAGAAAATCCACAGTAATCTGCGAAATCCCAAAGTATTTTTGTTGAAAATATGCTCGGAAAGGAATATTTTGGCAGATAAATAAAAAACTGAAAGAACAAAGAGGGATACGGAGATATGTATGTATATATATAGAATTTATGTTATAAGGGCACCGCCGAATAATGAGTATGACAGGTCGCCATCCATATCGTCTTCCTCCGAGCAGTCGTATCCCGGAGCTGCTGAACAGCTAGAAGATATGGAAGGAGATGAGAGAGAAGAACAGGATAAAGAAGGAGATGATGGTGAACAAGGTAAAGAGATGCCTGACACCAATGATGATCTTGAACCTGAAGTTAAGCTGGAGGCAGAAGATGAAAACGAGGAAAATCAAACACATCTGTACAGGTATTTTATGTAAATACAGTGGCACCCATAAAACGGTCAAGTAGAAAGACCACATTTATGCAACTTCTGAAAGGGACTGCAAGCATAACTTCAAGTGACCCTCCATGCAAAGATGGCAATGCCCGATTCACAGCGATACTTTTTAAAATCTTGGTCTCATCAAGTATGAATTTTGATTAATTTCAAGTGTGGGTTTTCTACAAAAGTGACATTTCTACTGCTGGAAAACGTATATAAATTATTACAAAAAAACATTTTTAAACCTCAAGCAACGACAATATCGATAATTTTGATCAGATAAAGGCTTCAAGGGTATCGTAAGTCGGGCATTGCCATCTTTGGATTGGGGGTCACTTGAAAACGCCCTTACAGTCTCTTTAAGAATATTTAAAATTCTTAAAAAGCAAAAGTTGTATCAGGAGCTTAAAGCCTAACTTATCAAATGAAATGGGTTAGTCTGCACTATCTGAACAATTGATATGCGATGCCTCGTGTTCATTTGACTTTTTTCCTATTCCATACTTTTATAGGTCCTACTGCAGATTAATAATACAAATATTCCAACATATTCTGAAACATTCTTTATTTTTAAGCCCAATCAATTCACTTTAATGACAAAAGTAAACTGTTTTGAAAAAAAATCTGTCTTATAAAAATTGACAATCTTCCGTTTTTTAGGCTTCTTGTAGAAAATATGAGACTTGCTCGTCTAATGGCGTCCAGAAACCAATCCCGAGATTCTCAATCTGTGGGGGATCAGAGATATTTGGCAACACAAAACTCAGCAACCCTTGGATTTTCTGGCAGCGTTTCCGTATCTACATTGAACCAGATATCTGGTACAGACTATATTCTGATCCCAGGCCAGATTTCTGATACTCAGTCTGGTGCAAGCAGACCAGAACTCAAATCTATCACAGCTAAACACTCTGAGATGCCGAGAACTCTAGGGTTAGACTTGAATCCAAATCACGAAAATGATTCAGGTAATTCCGATCTCAATAGTTTAGAACTGTTGGCTGAAGTAGCACTTAACCAAGTATCAACCAACGATGCTCAGATTGACAATCAAGAAATCAATTCTCAGAGGCAAACAAATATATTGATAAAATCAAACGGTTTGATCAACTCGATCCCGTCTCTGCTCTCCCCTGTGACCTGCTGCTCAACTATGATACCGGTCAATCTAGCTGTACAAGCCAGTCCTTGGTTAAGCTTGTCTGTACAAGCTGACCTCTCTTCGCAGGGTGACCTGCCGACACAAGCCAATCCCCCGGTCAACCAACCTGTTCAGGCAAACCGTGATGCTGATCATGGAGAAAGGATTATTCCTGGGCTACATATCCTCCCAGGTATAATATCTGGTAGGTTTATCAGATCTGGTGTGTCCAAACCGTCTGGTGTTCATCTCAATATGTTGGGTCTGATCAATCAGAACGAGACAAGACCAGATCTAAATCTGGCGATGAGGGTTGAAAACAATCTCGAGCTAGCAATTAACAATCCCGGTCCGAGTTCAAGACCCAATTTTAACCAACACTTTAATCCTGCTTCCAAACCTAAACCAGGCTCACCAGAATCTGATCCTTTAATCACTTCAAGCCAAGAAGAACTCTCTTGTCAGATCTGTGGAAGAATCGCATCTAAAATTTCTTCTCTTAACAATCATATGAGAACAATGCATGGTGAGGAGGGGGAGGAGAGAGAAAGAAAGTTTGAATGTTCCACGTGTCAAAAGTTGTTCTTCCGGAAGAGTAATCTGACGGAACACGTGAGGCGGGTTCACCAGAACGAAGTGCGCGAGTATAAGCGCACCTACTGTGAGCACTGTGGTAAGGGATTTGCCCGACAGACTTCATGTAATCAACACAAAACCCGGTGTCTAGCAAAACGGTCTAAAAATACTTAATAATTTGATACAGTGAGAAAGAGAAAACTGTGAAATGAGAAGACGACATTAATGCAATATTTAAAGTGTATTTGATGTTGTGACAAGGAAAATATAATGAGTCCAAAAGTCGTCTTTCTATTCCAAAATTTTCTGGTTCTCTATATGTATGCAAAAAATTAATTTATTTATGTTATGTTAGTAATAAAAGACCTAAATCGCTTCTCTAATTGAAACGTTTTTTTATGAAATATTTTTGAAAATTTTTCTTCAAAAATGTTGCTTTGAAAAAATGTTGCTCAAAGTATAAAATGTTCCTGGTACCTGATTAAATCAAATGTTCTCTAAAGAGCTCACTCTAATCAAAAAAAAACATACAAAAGTTATTTTTCTTAATATTTTGCAAGGGCGTAAACAGGGGGGGGCATACGGGGGGGGGGCTTTTAAAATTTTAAAAGTTCACATGTTTCACAACTCTGCCCCCTTCAAAAAACCTGCCCCCCGCCCCTCTACCAATTCCTGTATACGCCCCTTTATTTTGTATCATAATTATCTAACTTAATTGTATTGAATTTCTCTACATTTTAAATATATGTTTCTTCCTATAAATTGTATTTAGATTATATAATAAAAGTAAAACAAGATATTCGTATATATATATATATGTTCCCTGTACCCGGCCAAACTGAATGGGCTGAAATTGTTTGTGGACACCCTTGGGTAGTCTAGCTGGGGTTGACATAGGCTAAAAAAATATTATCCCCACAGGTAACGCCGGGCTCTTTAGCGTGTTTTAGAAAATAATTAATACTTGATCCAGAAAGTGTTTTACAAAGTTGCAAGCAATTTTTAAAATATGAAAAATAATTTTTAATTTTAATAGAGAAAAATTAAGAAGAGAATGACTAAAATAGATTAAGCTAGATATATAACAGAAATGTTGTCTCTTATATTCGGATTTATACCAGAAAATTGATAACAGAATTGAACTTTTGTATTTTAAGACTTAAATTAACAACAGATTTGCACTACACTATTTCAATAGTTGCAGACTGATATCAGATATATCAGAATATTTTTAAACTCTTTAAAGAGAAAAATCATTTTTGTTCTTTCGTATTCACTTCTCATAATTCTGTTCAAAACCAATAATTTATTTTTTCAAAAGTAGATAAATATGAAGCTTGCTAAAGCATGTCATAATTTAGAGATAATATAAGCTAAAAATGCATAACTTAGTTTTTGTAACAAAATTGATCGATATATTTCTGAATCTGTAATTTTCTAACACTAATCTTAATCCTCCTCCTCCTCTTCTTCTTTCTCCTCTTCTTCTTCCTTCTCTTCTTCTTCCTCTTCTTTCTCCTCATCTTCTTTCTCTTCATCCTCTTCTTTCTCTTCTCCTTCTTCAGTCTCTTCTTCTTCCCCTTTCTCTTCCTTATCCTCCTCCTCTTCCCCATCCTTTCCTTCTTCTTCCTCCTTCTCCTGTTCTTCTCCTTCTTCTCCCTCTTCCCCATTATTCTCTCCATCCTCTTCTATATCTTCAATTTCTGTATCTGAAAAAAAATAAATAGAGTGATAACCAGAAAACAATGGAATAGAAAGACGACATTATGGCAATACTTAAGCGTTTTGATGTTGTTACAAAGCAAACATTTTTACTAGTAATTTAGCAAAGCTCAATTTAAGTGAAAAGGGTCTATTTACACTGTACAGTTGCTATGTCTAATGTCCATTGAACTAGTTTAAGTCCTAACTTGAGTTTGAAAGTTAAAAACCCCGAACCTTACATGTTTAAACAGCTCGATTTAATTGGATGCAAAACAATAATATTCTTTGTAATTGTAAAGAAATGTTTTCTAATACAGTGAGTACCAGAAAACTTTGGATTAGGAAGAAAACATTATAGCAATTCTTTACCGTATTTGATTTTTTTTTACAGAGAAAATAGTTTTACCAGTAACTTATCATATCAAGTTAAACGGATCTGTAAAGCAATGTCTTAAACTATTTAAAGTCATAACTTAAGTCTGAAAGTCGTCTTCCTATTTCAGATTTTTCTTGTTATACTGTATTAAATCGTAAAATGTGATGAACGCCGCTGTATTTGAGAGTTTCTTAGTTGCGCACCATCGGTCAAATTCAATATTTTGTTTACCAAAGCTTGTGACTATGGCTATGGTAGCACGACTAAGAAACTGTGTATTTATTCCTTTATCAAAGATGCTTCTGGGGTATACAAATGTTAAGAACTACCTAACATCACATTTGCTCCGTTGAGTTCTATTCCTTCTATCACAACATCCTCCATCACCTCATCCTCCTCATCTTCCTCATCAATCTGATCTTCAACACCTTCTCGCCTGAAAAAAAGGATTAAATTTAATTCTATTGACCCTACCCGGTACCCTACCCGGTACCCTACCCGGTACCCTACCCGGTACCCTACCCGGTAACCTACCCGGTACCCTACCCGGTACCCTACCCGGTACCCTTATAAGCTTTTCTTCTTCAAGAATGAATTATTAACTGATTATTTTCATTTATGGTTTCTATACAAAAGTGGTTTGCGCATTTCTTGCTTTAGAAACAAAAAGTTAATAACCGAAATTAAACGCTTTACAAGTCGAAAAAAAGTTGTTTTTCACATTAAAAAAAACTCCAATGTTCATAAAAATCTAAATAATGGACATAATTTCATTTTTTCATTTTTTTATTCAACTACAAAGCACGAGATAATACAAATAAAAAATCACAATTTACTATGTAGTTTGGACCCGCCTAACCAGAGTAGGTTGTTTTAATTGGTTGGCCCACTATAAACGAATGAGAATTGCAGATAAAAACAANCAATTATTTCCTTCAGTAGCTTGGTAGAAATATTGTCCTTACCTGAACTGTTTTTAGGTTTAAGTTTACTCACTGTTTCAAGAATAATTTCTGGTGTAATATTTGCAAACACAAAATTTTCCTTGGATGGCTCCTTCAGATATGTTTCAAAATTAACATTAGAATCCGGAATATAACTAGACAATCTGGGTCCAATGTTCACAAAAAAGTCATTAAAACCCTCTGCTATTTCAGCAGATCCCACAAAACTTTTTTCATCATCAGTGAAAATATCAGGAACTGAATGACTTTTTTTCTTAGAAGATATAATAGAGTTCAGTAAAGACCAGGTCTTTTTGATGTCTTTTGAGTATTCTGTAAATTTTGAAGAAAAATAACTAGTCTTGGCCTTTTTTATTGTTGTGCGATAAACAGAATTATATTTTCTAAAAGTTTCTAAATTGTTTGTAGTTGGATTCAGGATTTTTTTCTTAAATAATTTTTCTTTTTGTTTTCTTGACACTAGCAAGGCGGACGTGAACCAAGGGTTAACAGAATTTTTATTTTTGTTTGGTTTATATTTGAAAAATGGAAAGCTTTCTTCATAAATATTATTTAAAGTGTTAGAAAATTCAGAAAAGTCTGTAGAAGGATCTTCATTTATCATAACATGAGTCCAGTCATTGAGTATCAATTTTTCTTTAAACTTGGTTTTATTTTCGATTGAAGTGTTTCTAATTAATCATATTTGCGGTGAACATGTAGGATTAATTTTATAGTTGTACTACAGTATTAAAGCAATATCATAATAAGTGGCAGAACTGATTGTGAAAATATTTTAAACATACTTAATAAACCCCCTTTCCCTTTCCCAGGAAAAAACAGCATAATGAATAAAACAAAGATTAAGGCACCTTGGAACCAATTGTCAACCTGTTCTGATCTACGGCAGTAGTTAGTCTCGGAGGCGAAGGGAGTCTTTGTTTGTGTATATGGTGTATTAAGTGCTATATCGATTGCAAAGCTCAATGAACTAACGTTCAATTATCTTTTTTTTTATTTTACGATAAGAGATCTTAAATTTGCTCAGGGTCAGGATTCATGAATCGCTAAATTGCAAAACAGGGTGGACTTCGTCACTTCTTGCCCCCCCAGAAGTTATCAAACATATTCATGAAGTAAATTTCATTTTTTTCGTCCCCGGGGCACAATTTAGAACTTTTACCGCCTTTTGACCAACATACATCCAGGATTCCCCAGAGGTTTGTTAAGTTACTCTACTTTTCATAAAAAAAATCTCGTATTTTTATCTCAAAAGACGATAAAGTTGTGTATACAACTATACTTTTTCGGGAAATAAAAAAATTTACTTTACCACGGGTTCACTTGACTGCACTTGGGAACCCTTGGTAAAGTAAAATTCCCATATTTTCCCTGTAAAGTAGTTGTTAAAAATTCTTATAACACTTTATAACCCCAGATTGTGATTTGTGTTTAAGCATAAATTGGATTACAGAAATTATTAGAATTGTGAAATTAGATATTATACATCATGTGCAAAATAAAGAAAAAGGGAAGTTTTGCAGCATTTGTATGAGGGTAGAAATACAATTATATGATGATGAGTAATTTGCATTTAACATTTTCCTCCAGAACACTGAATTTTGATAAAAGAATAAGAAAATTTGAAAAATTAAAAATATTTAAATTTTAAGCTTTTATACGATAAAATGATGAAATAAAATAAGCACATCCTTTTAAAATACAATGAGAAACAGAAAACTTTGGAATAGGAAGACGACATTAAGCAATACTTTTAATTTACTAGTAGCTTATTGAATTAATTATGATTTGGTTTATACATGCACTATTACTCTGGCTCATGTTCAATGTTCACGACTCAAGTCTCAAGTCCAAAAGTCATCTTTCTATTCAAAAGTTTTTGGTTTTTATTAAAAGTACGAAGGGAAAATTTGAAATAAAAATATTCTGAGTAATTTGTCAGAAAAATTCCTGCATAACATTAACACCCCTTCCTACCTAGATTAATTGATGTATAAACTATTAGGCTTTTAGAGCTTTTCTCTTTGTATATATTGTTAAAACAAAAACAAAAAAATCGCGGATTTTATACGAAAAAAATCGTGGATTTTCAAAATTTTCAAAAATCGAATTTTGTTACAGATAAATTTTCGAAAATTCGTTCATCCATGAACCTTACCTGGGG